TAAAACCCATTCGCGGACTTAAACACGTACCTACGTTGTATAATCAGATGTTTTTTGACAAAAGAATACTAAGTACCAACCTTAGATTTTGTAATTCTCTTAACATGTAGGTCAAGTACAAATGACAGAATACGTGAACAGCTGGTTTCTGAATTGAGAATACTAGCTACACTTAACTGATAATTTTTTTGCTTCGTGGAAACGGCAAGCATTTAAATATAGTAACGAACAAACGTAAACTTTATAAGAAGTATCGTCGTCTATCTTACGTCTGATTGTCAAAAGCGAACGCTTGAACCATGTAGGTAATTTCACATTTCTATTTACTAAAATAGATAATTATATGGCATAAAATTTACATTTCCATTGAACGTTTGCAGTCAAAGTCATATGCATGTATATAACACGTCGTATTTTAGTGGGACGGTATACCACCAGTCACACTTACCCTCACTTTACAGAACGCCATATCGATTTTTAGCAGCATGGTGGGCTCTTAATACCATCTTCGAGAGAGACGATCCGTAACCAACTGTGGTACAACAGATTAGGTTATAAATCTAAATAGTCAGGGCCTTAAATACAAATATGGAACGTGCGTCTTTTTTTTGGTTAAGTAAGAGCAGGTGTTTCCTTTCGAAAAGGTTCGATGTTTTGAATTAGAATAGCCTAAGATTTACACTTCCTCTGTAGGACTGTAGCTTAATCGCTTTAGGCGTTTATTTGTTTATTATGCTGCATGGATAGGTCCCGGGTTCTATATTTTGTAAAAACATGAGATTTCTAAAATAGGGAATTTAACAGGTAACTTAAAACATCAAAAAAAAATTATAATTATAGTTTTTACTAATTAAAACTTGTCAAATATTTATATTTTCATTATTATTTTATTTGAATAAAAATGTTCTACCGTTTTACTTTTTTAAAGTGAGTTTCTTTCTTTCTATAGAATTTAGTTCTTCAAGAAATTTTTAGTAATAAAAATATTGCATTTGTTATGCTTCTCTTGCATGAAACATATTTCCGTGTTCGTTCACTTATCGATTATAACTAGAGACGATGTCTCCCCGGATCTCGAACCTATACTGTCACGCATTCTGCCACCGAACACGGATGCGAAATGAATCGGTGTAGCAGGTGCATTCTTATCTCGAAAATGCACCAAATACATTACTTGTTACTGTAATATCAAAATGAAGACAGATGGCCTTATATTGCACCTGTTCTCAACACCTGTACGAAACGAAAATGCAGCTACCGAATTACCATTTTTCTTCGAATGTCTGTCTCTAAATTTAAAAATTTACATCTTTTTATCCATTTGATTTGGTATTTGTCTGTTTCATTAGTATTAATTAAATAAACAAATATTAATTAACCAAAGCAGTCAACAAATCTGTCGTTTGTATATATTAAACGGCCTTACAAACACTCAAATACATTTCCATTCAACAAGTAGTTTCTGATATTAACACACGTTTGAACAAATTTAATCGCTGTAGTCCCTTTATTGTACGGGGTTTATTAGACACAGTTATGCGCTTACTACTCATGTATGCCCCATAGAGGTTACAGGATTTCTCATTCTTTATCTGTAGCCTTAATCGTGAAGCGAAACAAGCATTTGCATATTCTATAAGTGAGCGCATAGGTTGAGGAGGCGTGGCCGCACCATCTGCCACTGCGGCAGGTGGTCGCAACCACCTGACAACCACTTTTTGTACCGCTTAGCCCGCATCTCAGTGCAGCCGGAAGAGTCCAAGTTTCAGATTATCAAAACGTATATAACTCAATACATGAGGTTGGGTGAGACGCATTTTTGTATCCGTTTCACAAAACGCTGTCTGTAAGTGGTTTTATCAAGCTGCAATTTCTTTGAGTACTTTAATGGTTAATTGCCCGCAGAAACTATCAATTCTTGGGTCGGGCATAGCAAAAAAGTTTGATCAACATGGCTGGTTCTATCAGTAAGACGGACACAGGAATCACGTGTCCGTCTAAAAATTAGTATATTTTAAACCATTACACCTTTTCCAACAATTTTTTTTTGTTGTTATATACCTACATTATAAAATTAATACTAAGCGATTATATTTCGGATGTTAAAGGAACTAAGAAAACTAACTTAATTTATTACTACTGAAAATAGATTCTAATACGTAAATGTAATGCCTTATACCCCATGCCCCATTATATATTTTTAATATCAGTACATATACGGAAGTTCAAGATATAGTACACGTATTTATAAGTTAAGCACCAAATGTTACTTTGTTTACCAATAAACCGATCTGCAGTAAAAAATTCGGCCTCGTTTCGACAACCCTTTTTCATTACGTTATTAAAAATCTCCATTATGTACGAGTAAAACCGTTTCTATAGTTAATTTAATAGATTTTGTGTTAGTATAAAAACTCTATTTCGTTAGCTTTTGAAAAAGTGTTGCTTTGTTATTGAATCTAGTTACACGCCTCTCTTATTTAAAATAAACACTTTAAATGGTTTAAAAGTGAATTTAATTATATAGTTATTTAACTTATAGTTAGGTACCTTATTTAGCCAACGTTTCGGATGCTTAGCAGTGGCCGTGGTCATGGAGGACGAAAAGATGAAGAGCGTCCCTAATCTCAAGATGTTTCTGTAGATCGTCGGGTCGTTGTATAAAAATAAGTCAAAATGATTGGTTGCACTATGACAATATGGTAATTATTGGCACTTCATAAGATAAAAAGTTTAGGATGCACTTTTGGGTATTTAATAAGTAACATCGAAAACCTTTGTGCAAGAACAAGATTGGCACGTGGCCGGAATTTGATGTCTTTTTTACCAGCAATAGACTAGCTGCGTCAGCGACTTTGTCCCTGTAAAATTCACTGTGTTATTTTGGGCATCCAAGTTTTGTTTTTACCTAAATTTATATAAAGATATATTTATAAAGAAGAAGAGTCTTTTTAAATAAAAGGGTCACCCACGACGTCGGACGCGTCCCATTGTCCTTGCAAGTTAATCTTAAAAGTTAGACACATAGTAACGCACACATTTTTTTAGATAATTTAAAGAGGAATCATTATTTCATAAATATTTTTGGGTGTCTCGAACCGTTTACGCAGCGCAGCGTCGGAAACCCATAGAGACGAAAATGTTCCCCCGTTTTGTCCACATCCCTCGCTGTTTCTTCGCTTCCTCTTTGACTAATAGATTACGTCTATAGCCTTCCTCGATAAATACTCTAACGAACACAAAAATATTTTTTCAATTCTAACCAGTAGTTTATGAGATTAGTGCGTTGAAACAAGCAAACTCTTCAGCAGCAGCTATAGTAATATAAAAATTATTATAGATAGAGATAGATGAATTCTTAAATCGTTATTTTTCATCGTAGAGATTTAACTATAACACACCAGCGTCGTCGTTAACATCGCAAATACTAATTGTCTATTCATCGATTACCGCGATGCCGGCTGTGCGCTAGGCGCGTCATTTTTTATAACGCCCATTTATCTCACTCACTGAGCGTACAGACAAAAACATCCATAATATTGTAAACCTCAGAAGTTTAAAAGCACGAAACTCACAAAACCATTGTACTCATTACAAATAATAAGTGTTTTAGACTTGGAAATTTGATGCAAAATAATAATAATAATAATAAACTTTATTGCACAAACAAATATAGCAAAGGGGGCCTTATCGCCTATGGCGATTTCTTACAGGCAACTCTTGTATAAAGGAAAAGAAAACAAAATAACGATAAATGAGTAAATGTGGGTACCTACACAAATATTTTATATTGAAAATGTCTTTTAGTACGCATTTATTTTTTTATAAACGACATTAGCATATATGTTTATATTCTAAGGTTTGTATTACTATAAAGGGCTTAACTAATTTTGATGAGACGCCTTGATTAGCGCTAGGAATTGGGTCAAAATGGCGGGAAAATCGCAACTTTTACAGATACAAAATATGACTAGTAGTGTTCAAGTTAAGTACAGGTCTGTGAACCAATACATTATTAATTAAAAGTCGTTCTCTATACTTAAGCTTCAATTCTTTAGTTAAAATGAATCGCAATGAATAGAATATTAAGCTTATATCTTTGCCACCCTAAATTTATCCGGCAGAAATTCGGGAGTGCCCGGGGTAGGGGCGAGGAGGGAGGGTTAATGCGGCCGGGGTCCGCACGCACGCATGCCGCCTCCGCTATGTGGTGTTGCCAGATACAAATTTAGGATTTCTAAGATTTTGTACAAAACCATTTTTATATAAATTATTAAAATTGTAATTCATTGATTTAATGTATAGACGCCCGACTGAAAGTATTAAAAAGAATTCGATAGCATCTTTTCAGTTTGGCGCGCCTTTAACGATTCACAAAAAGTTATGGTATTTAATTCCATAAAAGACTGGTAACACTGCGGGGTACTTGTCCTATTCCGGGATTGAGTCATGCGCACATGAAGTTTAATGGGCAACATTTTGGAGCTATGACGAACTGTCAAACGCATAGCGCGCGCCGCCATTGAATTGCGACAATGTTTTTGTTTGCTGCACTACATCGAGTATCCAATTCTGGTAAAAAGACCGAATCATTGTTAGAACCATCTGACCATTGAGACGAGTGCTATAAACGGTATTTTGATAAATGTCAATTGCCTGTAAAAAGCCAGGGTGACACCAGTATTGCGACAATGATTCTGTTTTGAAAATATCGAATAGTAGGAAAGGGAGAGGCGAGCGACAAGCCAGTGTAAATAGCAGAATAAGGGCCAGTCCCTCGGAACTTAGTACAACTTGCGGAACAACACCTCGCCCCCCGCGCTGCGCCGCAATCCAACTTTAGTTTCGTATCAGACGTTGCGAAGTGTGTACGTATCGCTCGATTCTAAATAGTACTGTGACTGAAGTTCTTAAATATTGACATATAAGCAATCTCAGTGCGTTTAGTGATAAAACAGATCTCTTTAGCGTTTGATGTACCAGCCAGTGCAATGTGAATGATGGTGGATCATGGTGAATCGTTTAAGTGGCGCGGTGCGATCCTGTCCACGATAAATAGAAGTTTTCGTCTCAAAAGAGCCGTGGAAAGCAAGTCTATGGATTCTGCGGTATGTACGGCGCCGGCCTGGCGCCTATATTACATATAGTACAACTTAACATGCAGTGAAAGCTAAGTTTAGAACGTAGGGTTAGGGTACTATTCTCAAGTGTTTGTTGGGACGCGGTTATCTCGAGAACTAGTGTTTGTTATAATGTATAAGATGTATCATATCGTTCGGAACTAGCAAGTATTTTCAAAAACGGTAGAAAATATCCATAGCGTCCCAGGATAATAATGGCTACCAAAAATTACCGCATTGGTAATATGGTAACCGGTAATTGGTGTCGTTTGTAATTCTTGATTGCAGGTTCAGCATTTAAATGTTTACAAACACATTATATATTGAATAGGGTCCAATTTTTGCTTAAGCCTGAAATAAGCATTCATATTTATCTTTGAGCCTTTAAACGCGTTACAATTGAAATCAATTTCAAAATATTGACATGGAGCAAGTTAACGGCTGTCAACAGATGTGTGAAAAAATGTTCGAGTTTATAAAACTTCTAATTTGATGGTGAAATTAGGCCTTAGTTCTATTAGTGTTAACGGCTTAAGTGTCACAGGATCCCCAAAAGAGCCCCATATCTTAAGGACTCTCATAAGCACACAATGCTAAGAATTAACATCGCATCAGGACGCACACATGACAACATCCGAAAACAGTCTGGCACGCATTGTCTCAAGAACAATGAACTCTGGCGTTTAATTATGCTAAGACTAGCTTCCCCCGCGGTGTTGACCGACGTTTATCACTAGGATTGGCCCTTCACTTGTTATGTATCACTAAAGTAATGTACATACACAATTTTTTACTCTTCTAACAAAAAACTAATCAAAATCGATTTAGCCATTACATTTACAAAATCTGTCAAAATCATGATTTGTGTAAAATAGATTTCGGCTGCTGTCATTATTTCTGTAATGTCGTTTTAATCCGTCGAGTAGTTTTCGTGTGAAAGAGTGTTAAACACAAATTAAGTTAACTTTCATATTTAAAAGTATGATAGGTATTAGTGAAATACAATTTCAAATTATTTTTTTTTCAAACAAAAAGATTTTATTTTTTTATATGTATACTCAATTATTTGAATGTTTTCTATTTTGTTTCTAAGTTTACACTTGTGAATGTTAGAGACTGTTTTTCCAGCTCCAAATTAAAAATCTACACATATTAACTTAACACAGTGGATATTAGCTATGTAGGTAAAACTTGGTTAGCTAGTGTGACACGCTTGTGTATCGTATTTCAAGTAGTAACAGCGTGAAGTAAGAATCAAGAAACACTTTTTGTGGCAACGATACTTGTATGGCCGCGATATTCAGTATCTGTCCAAGACCTCTCTCTCTTTTAAGTAGACACCGACCGACCAAAAACTGTGTTCGACTAAGCCGAATGTTGAAACGGGACTTTTTTTAAATCAACTTTTACTAGGATCTTAAAACTCTTCGATTCCACTGACTCCCCAGAGAAAAAATGGGAAAAAATGTGTTGTGATAAAGAACCCGTGAAGTGTAACTCCACGTTGGGTTACCGTTTCGTGGATTTCTGAATGTCGAAAGGCAAAATAGGTCGACAAAGCATCTTGTTTAGGTGTTATATAGCTGGGTTTGTGCTTGTCGGCCCGCTGTCATAAAAAAGCAGCTATATTGCACTCGCAGTGCACGCTGCAATTGCTCCAAGGTGATTCACTTCGGTTTACGACAGAAAATCAGGTTCGCCAACATAATACTCACGCTTATCGCAACAACACCGGTAATAAAACAGAGCTTTTGAGCTTTTGTTACCTATTGTTCTGTTGCTTAATTATAAAGCTCCTTAAATAATAGCGTTTTCAACGGTTTTAAACCACTGCTGCAGGATGCGTTGCAACGTCAGAATATGTTAACTAATATACCTACTTTGAATTTTGGACCGTTAAAAGTATCTTATTAACCTTATTAGAATAAACTTATTAGAAGGACTCAAAACTTTTAAAAGTCTGATGATGACAATGATTTTGTTGCAGGGTCTGAACTCATCAAGCGAGGCGTCAACTATGCGACCTTTAGAGATAGTCGCGCCGAGGATAGACACATACCGTTTCTCCATGGCTAACCTTGAGGAGACGCAGGATGCTGATCTGGACGCTATTCTTGGGGAACTTTGCGCCCTGGACTCGGAGTACGATGAGGAACTGTCCAGAGTTTCGGCAGGTGAGGCTTTGTTACGGTAATTACCGTTGAGTATATACAATATTGTACAAATTACTGTCCACTGTGTTATTCCACGAGGATCGTTATTTTGTCCATCGAAATTCATTTTTGCAAACCCCTTCATCTTTATAAACATAAGGTGTTACCCACTACGTCGCCCATCCCTTTCCGTCTTTTTTGCAAGTTAATCTTAAAAGATAGCGTCGCAATTTTTTTTTTGGATCATTTAAAGAGGAATCGTTCTTTCCTACATATCTTTTGGGTATCTTGAACCGTTTTTGCAGCGTGTGCCCCGGAAACCAATCATGATGATAATAATTTATCCAATTTGTTTTCACATTTGTCGCTGTTCCTTTGCTTGTATTAGTCACAGAGCAATGTTTTATGGCGTACTAGCTGTGCTCGCGAATTCTTCCACGTAGAATATTGACTTGGTAGAATTTTTAATTATTTAGGCTGTTTATTAATTTATGTAAGGGCGCATTTAAGGCAGCCAATCTATGTTGTAAGTTTTACTTTGCCGCAACAATCTCACCCCACATCACTCCTACTGTAACTCCCGCTTTCATTCCTACATTCACTCCAACTCTCACTCTCACTCCTATTCCCAAAAAGCCAAAGAAGAAAGTTTCATTGTTCTAGCTTCAAAAGCCACGAATTTCCATACAAACTTTAATCCCCTTTTTCAACCCTTATCAAGCTTTTTTTGGCATTAAAAAGTATGCCTAAAGGACATAGGCATACTCACTCGGGCTCTAAAAATACTCATTCAGCCTCTAAAACATCTGTGTACCAAATTTCATTTAAATCAGTTTCGGAGTTAAAGCCGGACAGACAGACAGAGTTACTTTCGCGTTTATAATATTAGTATAGATAAGCCTTCCTCTAACCAACACAAAAAGAATTGTTCAAGTTCTTCGAAGCCGAGATTAGCGCGTTCAAACACACATACAAACAAACAAACAAACTCTTCAGCTTTATATATAGTATAGATGGTACAAATTTCTGTCTAATTTATATTGGAAATATGTTACATTTTGCCATTTTTTACAGACTATTCAACTTCTTCAAAGGACCGCGTGGATGGTGAAGTGCCTCAGAGGCCTGACATCAAAGAGACTGATGGTGGAGCTCATATCACCAGAACCGATTCACCTGACAACGACTCTGCTTTCAGCGACACCGTGAGTTGTTGAGGCAATTCTTAACACCAAACTTCATATAAACTCTAATTTACACTAGTAGTTTAAATAAAAAAAACTTTTTTAACGGTTTAAAATGCGACAGCTATTTTTAACTACAACTCGATAACGAGGTGGTGGCTCATATTTTTCGCGTTTTAAATAGATAAAGTTTTTTATTTCAATTGACACATTAAAGGAAATCGTACTTAATCAAAATTTAGTCAATTGATTTAAGGACAACTTCGTCTCATAAAAATCTTAGCATAAGTACACTTTATAAAATCAATTTAAGGTCTTATAGGCTTTCTACGAAAACTACAGCACGGCTGCATGCCTGTAATTGAATGAGTAGTGCTTTAAAATGTTTAGACGTCACGGGCCACTCAGCAAAAGTGAAACATCTATTTTTTAAATTAAGAATATTCAATTATTTTATTCTAAATATCCCATGGAGGTAATTCTCAATTAAGCGACATAATTACGTACGTACGCATCGTTAACACCAATGGGTCGTTCCATTCACACCACGCCAATGGTATTTCTAAATTAAATTTATATTTTTATCTATAACACGTCATTTTCGTCTGAAAATTCTGGACAAGAAAATGTTTGGTACAAACATCGAATATTGCGTCTTACAAAATAATGTACGGTTTTAAATAAATTTAAGTAAATCCGCGTATCGTTTATACTGTATGGTTTACTCAATGTGTAACGCTAAAGTAAACGAAGTGAACTAGCACGCTAGTTCATCTTAAAAATTCGCAAATTATGTCAAACACGAAGTTATGTTTGTACAAGAATGCGACATGAGTATATCACTTTTTCTGAGAATTGCCCCCCATGTCAAGACACCCATAGATGTTTCACGTTACCGTTACTATAATGTTACCATTGCAGGTGTCCATGCTTTCAAGCGAATCTTCGGCTTCAAGTAGCGCTAGCTCTAAGTGCAAGCCAATGAAACTTACGTTACATCCAAACCAGAAGGTAATTTTTATTTAGCATAAACAGAATAAATGCAGACCATTCTGAGGGGTGCTTGGCAAAGGATAATAAAATGTGAAATTCGAGTCAAATGCCTTTTTATACAGTACTTTAAAGTAATCCTCGAGATTTATAATACACGTACTCGCATTTGATCAAAAATATAAGAAAAACTGGCTTACCTTGTTTAAGATAAACTAAAAATACATTTACGTCTGACTATGAATATATTTATTCAACAACAAAGCCAAAGAAAAAAAAACATATTAAACTTTGTCATGCACTTCTCTTTTTAAGAAAGACCTTTTTGATCACACAAAAAGTATTTCCCTGCATTTTTTTATTATTTTCTAAACGATTAGCAGATGTGTTGGTGTATTATCCTGCTTATAAATGTATTATTACTTGCAATATGAATGTCTATGTTTGAAAACCTTTTTGCACATGTTGGCAATATATAAATTAAAGATTTTTCTTCAATACTACACGCTTCGGACTAGAACCGGCATCCACAGCGTTCCATACTGCTGTTCTAACTATGACGTGATACACAAGATACTGTAGATCTATTGGTTAGAGCAGCAGCACGGGACGCTGCGGATGTCGGTTCTATATTCGCCTGCGTCGTTATTTTTTTCAATCTAAATAGATTTCTGAACTTATATCATGTCTATGTTGCATACTTAACCTATGTATATTATATATTTCAATGTGCCCATGCTATTGCAAAAAGTATGCTGAATAAATGCAATAACTATTTTTTTCAGCAGCGAATGTTCGACCTTTAATAATTAAATTCAGTTATTGAAAACAATAAACTCATTGGAAACTTTTTAATCAATCATTAACGTTGTCTAATCATTAAAGGTCAATAATGTCGTTCTAAGTTGTTTAAATAAGAATAATCCTTGACACATTGCTGACTAAATCATGAGATGTATGGTTTATTAAATAAAAAATAATAATCTAAAAGAATCTTAAATTACTAAGTTATTTTTTGTAGTCTTTAAAGTTAACAATACGAAAATATCCAATACCAAAGAAAAAACAAACAAAACAACAGAGGAAACATTGCCTTGTTTGATTTCAAATTCACAAGTCACAATCGAATTATTCATATTTAAAAATAACCTTAAAATAAATATTTATTGACAGGTGTCATTATATTTCTGATAATGACAATTTTGGTACTTAGGCAATATTTAGTTATTCGCAGATTTCGTTTTATGCACATTTAAGATCAGTTCATGTTAAATCAACATATTATTTCGCTTCACCACATTGTACCGAAACAGTCTGTATATAGTATTCGCATCTCCGATAACTTACAGGACACCCTTTATCAACAGAAGGCAGACAAGATCAAATTAGCTCTGGAACGCATGCGGGAGGCAAACGTGAAGAAGCTCTTCATCAAAGCCTTCTCCACCGATGGTTCGTCCAAGAGCTTGCTCGTTGATGAGAAGATGACATGCGGCTACGTGACCCGACTCCTGGCTGATAAAAATCATGTTTCGATGGAACCCAAATGGGCCATTGTGGAACATTTACCAGACCTGCATATGGGTGAGTTAAGAGAAAGTTGGTCTAGTTTAATAATAAGATATGATTCGATATTAATAGATCGGTTTGATGCTGGGTTGTGCTCAGAAATCTACAAATAAAAAGTAAAACGCGACTATACACGGCTTTATAAGCTGTGGGCGGTGGTTTGGGACACGGACGGAATTTCAATATTACTTCCACCCATTTAATAACCAGATTTCCAGGCGAAGTCCAATACGTTTAGGAATAACTATAAATTGATTAGGAAAAGGTTGGACCCAGTGGTGATCGATACGCGGCCCATTGGTTATTATTAGCCATCATGAAAAATAGTTATATGGGCCAGTGTAGGTATTGGTACAATTTATTTACAAACACTTTTCAGCCTTCTAAAGCCCAACGGAAATAATATATTTTTATAAACTGTGCGTTTACTCTTGTTAGTATAAATTTCTGAAACAAATATTCTTCTTTTATAGAGCGTGTATACGAAGACCATGAAATGTTGGTTGACAATCTGATGCTGTGGACAAGAGAATCCAAGAACAAGATCCTCTTCGCTGAAAGGCCAGAGAAGAACTCGCTGTTTCAGACGCCAGAGAAATTTCTTTTGAGTGAAGACGATAGAGGTATATTGAATTTTAATTGTTAAATTAAGTTTTATTTATATAAAATAGGTTCAGTAATTTAAAATAAACTTCATACGTTTCTAATAATATTAATAACGGATTAAAGATGTGGCAAATCAGACTGCGACCTAGCCGACCGAAACTCTATTAATATATCCCAGGGTTCGAACCCGTTATTAATACGTAAAATGTACAAAATTAATTAATCGTTTTCAGGCTGGTCTAATGACAATGATGATCATCTACGCCAAGTCATCATTGATGAATTCTTCAGTCAGAGCAATACGACGACACCAGCCATCTCTGGCCATCCTGTTCCACCAATGGAAGGCTTCCTTTACTTGAAGAGTGATGCTAAGAAAGGCTGGAAGAAATATTACTTCGTGTTAAGACCCTCGGGTAAGGAAAATATTAATTTTTGCAATGCGATGTGGCTGGCTCAGCGAATGAATAAAAAATAATGTTGTTTTTTCGTAGTCAAGCTTTTTTTAATATTTTGATTTTAATAACGAAAGCGACAATTATTTTTCCCGTATTTGGTAGATGCTCAAAGTATAACTTTAATTAATTTTACTGTCTTTGAAACGTGCTGATATTTTTTTCGCATTTGAACTGAAAATCGAAATTTTGTCTGGGACACTAACCGAAAACCAGACTACAATTGTTAAACGTATAAATATATATAATAAACGTCAGATTTTTATCTACGTCAGGTTGTGAATACAAATAATTTAACTCGTATGTTTCATATTTTGAACCATTTTCTTTGTGATTTTTTTTCTTCTATATAAACCTAACACTAAATCAAGTGCACGCATTTCGGTGTGTTACTTTGATTTAAAAAATATATAAATTCATAATTTTGATAATTCTGTTGCTTCCATTCACATTCTAAAAAGCGTTTAAGGCTTTGTCTGTTTGTTCGGTTCACTCTGCGTTCACAAGTCGAATACTTTGAGCATCCCTCGTTTTTAGGCTATCATAATATAACATTGGTCATTGTCCTTAGGTCTATACTACGTACCGAAAGATAAAGTGAAGACCTTAAAAGAGCTGGTCTGCTTAACCACCTTCGATAACAATGAAGTGTATGTCGGCATTAACTGGAGGAAGAAATACAAATCTCCGACGGACTATTGTTTCGCGATTAAACACCCGAGGCTGCAGCAACCAAAGAGTGTTAAGTTCATAAAATTCCTCTGCGCTGATGACCAGCAGACCTTGGACAGATGGGTCACAGCCATGCGGATAGCTAAAGTGAGTGTGAACACAATATATACATCTTTTATGATACTCTGTGTTATGCATCAGAGCTACTGGGTCGAATTTTTCGGTCGAGTAGAGTACCAATAAATCAGTTACTCCACACACTGTGTTAACTCACACTCTAACAATAATCACACCAAATCCTTTTAAATGTTCCTGCTAAATGTTTTTTATGGGTTTAACATTATTTAAGCAATGGTATTTTTTCTTTCATTTTAACTAACCAAAATTCTTTCCAGCACGGACGACAACTGCTAGAAAATTACCGTTCCCTGGTCGAAGAGTTAACGCAAGAAGATTTGGACCATTTGGCGCATGCACGCTCTTGTTCTGTAAGCTATAATCCTTCGATTTAATATGGAATGCACTAATACAGATCTACTAGTTTGATTTAAATTAAAACTTATTTCAGTAAACATTTAAAGTCTACGATTATGTTTTTTAGATAAAGGCATAGTCATTGATATTGTCATTTTAATGAGTTTTTGATATAGGCTAAACTCTTTGTAACAATCTTTTATATCATAGAAAGAGCTTTTTGAACTTACAACTTGATTTATTAAAACCGAACACAATATAAATATATCTTCAGATCATACAACGAGAATTCTTAATACCTAAAAACCTTAACCCCTCGAGTATTGTTAAGTTAAAACAATTGTTTTTAATTCTTATGAATATATCGGTATAATGACATATTAAAAAAAATCACGTCATATACTATTTTGTATAATTTCACAGATTACGTCAATTCCAACGAAGACAAACAACCCGCCGGTCGTCAGTAACCCAGTGCAGCCAACATCAAGTAATGCTAGCGTTGCCAACTCGGACGCCAGTAGCGGAAGGTTGGTATTGTCATGTTAACAAATGTGCGAATAAATTGCGACTGTATTTTTGTATTTTATATGTGCATGTAGCTTTTTTAGTTATTTCGAAATTCATGCTTGGCGTGCGCAACACACAACAGTAGAATTATTCATAAGGATATTTTTGAGCTGTAAATAAATTTATACTTAATATTATAATTTTATTATGTATATGAAATTGGCGTACACTGCAAAATATAATAAAATTATTTATACTATCTTTATAGTTATATTAAGAAAAGATTGTTATGTTACTTATTTCTGTAATTAATAGAGTTTTACATTTGAAATATAAAAAGTATAATTAAAAATAAGGACATGCAATTTCGAGACTGGCGATGAATGTTTTGCTTTTATATTTACATTTATAATTCAGTAGATTTTTGAAAAATTTCATACTGACACGACACGGTTCGTTACCTGTCGTGGGATGAAATAGGGCTTTTCGCCCTTTTCACTATTTTTCAACTTTCTAAATTAAAAACAAGACGATAACCAGAAATTCTCTATAATATTGAAAACTTTACAAAACCTCCTATACTGAAACATTACAATTTTTTGCTTGCGGCTTATACGTGCGAACTATTAACTAAACTGAACCTGTTTTCTACCTATTTATGTCCCACTGCTGGACACAGCTTTTTGCATATTAGGTTTTATAAGCTACTCACCGCGCTACTACATTGCGGATTGACGTTTGCGACTACCGCCACCAATTTATTGTTGGTACCGACCTCTTATCGTGCTATTTGCAGTTAACATTTTTTCATGATACATGTTACGACGAATAAAATGAACTGATCTGAGGGATCGTGTAATGCCCCAGTGAATACAAGCTCCATCCATCTAATTCAGATGTGTCGTCGACTTTATGAAGTCATGCACTGAAATACCACTATAATTGACACAACTGTAAATCGAACACACGATTCGAACAAAAACAAAAAAGCGGGTATTTGACCCGCTTTTTTGTTTTTGGCCGGTTTTTTGTTCTTGGCGAATTATCGTTTGATAAATTGCTGGGGTTTATTATAAATTGTCCTCTTTTGTTCACAGGCACTCACGCGCATCTTCGTCAAGTTCCAGCGGATGTCTTTCAGATGGCGGCACTGCATCAGAGAGTGCATTTGATTGCGAATTTCCTATGGGTAAGATAATTTTCAATGGTTGACGCCCTGGATTCGAATCCCGCATCATGTTTCGACCGGTTCAGGCACAGAAGTCTGAACTTGCCTCTGAAGTCTATCATTCAAACGGATTATATTAGAAAATTAGCCGACCTGGCAAAGGTTCTTTTGCCATATAAAATATTTTAAGTTGTTGTGAGTTTATCTTAAAAGATAGACGTGTAAGGTCGCGGACGTATTTTTGGAATATTTACAAAATAATAATTCTTCTAACTGTGTCAGCGACTTTGTCCGCGAGAATCGTTATTTTAGGCATCCAAATTCGTTTTTACAAACCCTTTCATCTTTATAAACTTAAGCTGTAACCCATGACGTCGGTCGCGTCCCTTCACGTCATTGTTGCAAGTTAATCTTAAAATATAGACATATAGCGTCTCGGACTTTTCATAGACCATTTAAAGTATCATTCTTTCTTACAATTTTTTTTGAATATCTTGAACCGTTTCTGCAGCGTATGCCGCTCTATCTCTCTATTTTCGCTTATATTAGTCACAGGGCGATGTTATATAGCTTATAGCCTTCCTCAATAAATGCTCTAACACAAAAAGTATTGTTCAATTCGAACCCGTAGTGCGCTATTAGATTAGCGCGTTTAAACAAACAAACTCCTAATCTTTATATATTAGTATAGATATTGATTAACTATAATATTGAATTTCGCAGGTACAATCAAACGTAAGCCATCCATGAAGCCAAACATTCCTTTGACCTGGATGACAAGACAGCTCAAAGAAATGGCAGAAAAGGACGAAGGCGAAACAGGAGACTGTGCAACGTTGACGCGAAGACCGCGTCAGAGGGACGACTCTACTCTTAAACGGCACCATCCTGGTGATAGTCGTTACCAGGGTACTGACGACTACGTGGCAGGTGATTGCGGCACACTCACAAGGAAGCCGTGCCAGTGGGACGATTCTACCCTTAAACGCGCTAACGGCAATCAGTTTCAAGGTAATTATTATAATCAGCCATTTAAAATTTCCTACAGCTGGGACCGGGCTTTATTATGGTGATTGTAGATTGAAGTTATGTCTTTCTACAATGGTAATATTTTCGTGATTTAAAGCACATTCTACAAACATGTAATTTTTGGACAATTTGCTTCACAATGATAACAGATTTACAAATCAAAACCATATGTTAATAATACGTTGTTACTCAATATTCCTTGCGTTATTTACCATAAAAATAAACAGTAATTAGACTGCATTATTCTGCTTTTTTACCTATATAATATCATTGCTTATTAAGGTATTTGGTTTCCAGAAAATCAGGATTCATCTGTATACAGCACTGGCAGCATAACATCGTCGAGTCCCACGCACGAGTCCCCTTCATATGGTCACTACGAGACGATTCCGCGTGACACCTACCGCGCCAGTGTCGACACTGCTTCGTCAATCTATGGTTACACCATTTACGACACGCAGCCTACAGAAGATTTTCCCCTACCGCCTCCGCCTGAAACAGAAGTTACTGACCCCATGTTCTGCTCTACACTCAGTCTAGACTCTCTCCCCCCGCCCCCGCCTCTCGAACCGATAGAAGACATCTGCGGTTCGCAGCTTAGTCTCCCACCACCGCCACCAGAAATAGAACACACGGGTAGAGTTCAAGATATTGTCACGCAACTGACCGCCCAGCAGATAGAACAAACGGCACCAAAGCGAACGAGACCAGAAAGCAAAACCTTTCCCAGACAACCATCTCTCGATAGCGTCAACTCGGACACTTCCAAAACTTCCTCCCTATATTCCGACAAGAGCATCAGGCAAAACGCATACGGCGCCTGCTTGGTGGAGCTTCAAACCAAGAAACTTAGCAACGGCAGTCCATCTGTACAAAAGAAACTAGACTCTTTACCCGGCAAAGAGAGATCTAGCTCAATGAAAAAGGTTAATTTCGCAGATGACCTCCCAACGTGTTCCGAAAAGAAGAACAAGAAGATTAGCTTCAATCTGACAGATGCTCCACCGTCACCCAGAAAACCTTTACCGCCAAGACGAAACGAGAGTACAAGGCTATCGTCACCAAAGAAACTAGCCGATTCGAATAGCAACCCGCCCAAGGATTTCTTAAAAGATCTGCAGCGTGTTATGAGGAAGAAATGGCAAGTCGCGCAGAAGTGTAAATTGGAACCGACAACGACGCCACACGAAGTGCTCGGCTTTAGAGAATATCCGCTATCCGATGATTATAAAGAGACCAGTGTATCCATGTGGGTTCAAGAACATTACGGGACGGGATCCATGGAAGATCCCTTTTACGAAAATGTGTACGGAAGGGATTCAGTGCCAGTGAGGAGAGAAGAGCCGAAGCCAATCAAAAAGAGACCGCCACCGGCGCCGCCCAAGCGAAGTGACTCCACGCACCTGACGACACAACCCGGTGTTCATCTTCCTCATACGATCCCCAACACAAGCGCCCCACAACATTCAGTGCAGCCGACCGCTTGAAATTTCCTCAACTTTTCGCTCGCTTGTTGCTGGGCGCGGCGCGACCGCGACATAACTGACTTTTAGCGGGCGGAAGTTGTTCAGTGGACTGACTATAGTGTAGTGTTATCTGCTACTTGAGTGATTTTTGATACTACTTGTCGAATCGACTTTGAACTGATCAAGTGTTTGATGACTGATAGAAGAGGCTTGATAGCCAGCATAATCATTCAATTTGAGAGTGATGGAGGGACTGTGTACGGCCGGCCACAAAAATGTTTGATTTGTTTGAACAGGCCGATGCGTTTACTTAATTATCAATACTGTTTGTGCATTAGGAAAAAAATTACTTCCCATACATTCAGGACGATGTTGATTTGTGCGGAAGTTATAAATTTTTGGAGCCGACTGTACTGGGAAGATATGACGACCAATGGTAAAGGTTAGGTTATTGGATAAAATTGAATGACGGTGCTATTGTGAAAAGTATACTAATATAGGTGGATTTACTTGTAACCGCAAGTTTTTACCAAATATATCGCTAAATAATGCTTCTAGTGTAGGTTACAAGTATGTTCGTTATATTTATTGGGAGTTTGGGTTATCAGTTGTTCCTAGTAGTTGCTCCGCCAAAGATGGAGACGTCGTCAGCGTAAAATCGCATTCGACTGGCGATTCCCACGATAACGAAGCGAGTCCATATGTTGATATTGCATAATTGAAATGTAGCGAATAAAACCGGCCAAGTGCGACTCGGCCTCGCGCCAAAAGTGTTTCCGTACTATTGACTAAGTAGACAACAGGGAGGTACACAAATATCATCGTAGTAACCTAGTTATTAGGCATTTCTAGGGCCTAACTGTTTATATTTGTGACCCCGACAAGGCAGCTTATATACAAATCGTGAAGACATTGACGCCAGATGCAATTTTACGCTGATAAAAACATTAGCTATGTAACTATATTTTAGATGGGAATTATTTCATACTATATTATTACTTGAAATGTAAGGGCATAATTAATAATTCTTGATACTGCTACACTGTCATGCTTTGTCGTGCCGGTCACGTTATTATTGGAGGCTACGCTCACTAGATGGCTGTCGAGTGAGAAGTTTAATAATTTGAAAGGTCCAATATCTATTAATTTGTAAATAATAACGAAGACTCTTGTAGATTCTTCTTGAGTCTGTCTATTTTGTATTCGGAACCTAAAGGCAATTTAAATAACGAAAATAAGGACTATGAATTATTTCGAATACCTCAAGCGACACGAACGCCGATGGAGGGCGATTCTCAAAAAAGTGATTTTTCCCCATTTTGAGAATAGCACCCCTAGTGAGTGTTAGCCCTCATTGCGTTAACCCGATCTCACTCCGAATTGTTTTTGGCTGTGACGCACATTCTCAAAGCTTTGTATTTTACCGGAATTTTAGATTCGAAAGACTGGAATTTTTTCATACTTTTATAATTAAATAGAAAACCCCTGACATGGAGGAAATATTTTTTGTTATATAGCCTAGTCTCAGCTTTTTTAGGTCGAATTTCTACAATCTTGGATATACTAGCGCAGTAGAGGAATACTCCACTTGACTAGACGTGTTAGTCTTTTTAATGCTAGTCAGGGGTTAAACACTATTAACACGTTTAAAATCATTTCAACTGTTCGGCTGATTATATGTGACCTGACTAGGTAATAATTTCTATAATTTCATACGTTTCACGTAGTTTAAATGTGTGAGGCTTTTTAGGAAAAATTTCGGTACTTGTTGGTTATTAAAAAGTTACATAGTACATAAATAAAACATTTGTAGTGAAATTACGCGATATTTTAAGATACGGAATTTCGTGATATCTTATTTTTCTCTACAGTTCTAGTCATTGTTTTATCAGCCATACTCAGTGTTGTTTAACTATTACTTGGCATAATGCCTATGTCGACATCTTAAAAGCCCACTTCTAAATAAGTTAAAAGTGTTTTATATAAAAGTTCTATTTGCGTCAACACGGTATTAACAACATAGTAATCAAAGCTTGTAAATAACGTAGTTAATAAACAGAATATGAGACACTGAACGTAATATAACAGATTAATGTGTGAATTAATCTGGTCTATTATTCAACTACTTTATAATCTTTATTTCTTGTAATAACTGAGTACGGCTGTTAAAAATGATAGGACCAACATTATCTGCCGTTTTTAATGGTAGGTACTTTTGTATCAAAATGTCTTAGGAATTGTATTTTTCACCTGTTCTTCGTAAGCGTCGTTGAAACAATCCATCCAAACAATATGGGATGTAAGACTGAGAGAATGTATCCCGATATTTTGACAATAAAATTGCGTCCGAACAAAATAGAATTTTGGCGAAACAGGCATCTCGACTTGACACAACCATCCATTTTACGAAAGAGTATTTCTTACAATTATCGCGAAGCGCTTACGCACGTTGTCATTTTAATGGGTGACGTCATAGATAGATAGATTACTTTGATAATTCTTTTTAACTCCTTGAGCCACTTAGGCTTAAATGAATATAATACAATCAATCGATAATTGTCCTTAAATTTGTCATAGGTCGCAAACAATATTTCTATCAAAAAATGTGATAAACACTTTCCGATTCATCTTTGTACACTTACGCGTCAACAAAATGGCGGCTCAGGGCGTTAGCAGTTCGCGATTACTAGATATATCAAGATTATGATTAATCATTCAGTGTACCTATTCTTAAGAATTTACAGTCTTTTATGTATGTACATTGTTTATGTATTTTAAGAGCGTTACAAACATTTCTTTCTAATCCTTACTATGAATAGGAAACTATTTCACAATTTTCTATTTAATACATAAATGTTGTTACTTAAAGCTGAAGTAGCTTGACTAATCCTTAGATCTATCTATCTTGGGCGTATCGTTCTTTACGCTCTGGACCATAGGACGGTATTGTCATATTTTAAACAGCGTAAATTTGGCCAAGCCACGAGCATTGCACTTGTAGTTGATTGCCAACTCAATTTGATTGTAAATAAAATCCATGGTCAAGTTCAAAAGACAATACACAGCATGTATGTACAATTTGTTGCCGAATCATTTGGATACTACTTAACTCGAATCCCCTACACCTTTGCTATCTAGGTTATGTACTGTTTAACCTAAGTGTAAGTCGTGAAACACCATGCCTCATTATTGAGGTACGGCTATATGTAATTGATGTTTGTATATACCTAAACTTGTTTACATATTTATGGGTCAATAGTTCTTTTTGACTACGATTGCATAATTATTTGATACATAAATTTCGTCCGAAAAAAACCGACATGGACTGGACCTGAACATATGCCATAACGATCGATGGCGTTAGCACCACCTCGGTGACATAGATCGGAACCCGACCTTTTAAGATCTAAATATGTACATGTTTAATTCAGTCGTAAATATTTATTACTTGTCGTTACTACCCCTTTTAATGTAAACGTCAGGGAAAGCTTCCCGTGTATTTCTATTATCTTGTAAAAGTTAGAACAGTTTTATCACAGGTTTGGCATGACCGCACAAAACCAAAAATGTCGCCTCTCTATCGCGATACAAACTGTGCTGTTAAAAACAGTAGCTAACAATGCCAGGTACTGAATTCTAGTGAGTACTCGACTCTTTATAAACATTTTGACGCAAACAAGACATTGAAATCACCTTGGAGATGTTTTTGTTTTTGTGGTTATGTAGTGTACACAGTTACAGAAAAGAAACAGTAGGACGACGGTATTCATTGATAGCAGACACGAACATAAAAAATCTCCCAGCGAATTCATAACATTTAAAGTACAGATATTATTATGAACTTTTTGGTAAATTCATATGAAAAGAATGATTTATTTTTTTTTATTGACAAATAACCTGTGTTTTCAAGTTGGATACCATTGAGAGCCAAGTTTTTCCAAATGTACTTTTGTGTGAAATATTTTAAGTACCGTATAACGCATTTATTAGTATGTTTAAATTGTACAGAACAAATCTTATATTATTTGTATATTTTTTCAAATATAACGAAATTCCGATTTGTTGTTTTTCATTTTGGTCTCTATTGATATTTTAATTCTAAATGTGTTGCCTAACAATTTAGCACAAGACGTCGCTGGTTCGAATCCCGGGATAACAAATTTCAATAAAATAAATAAAGCATTTCGATTGGACTGGCCACAGAAGACTAATCAACTACTGACTTGACTATAAGCAAAATCAAATAGCGTCTGTAATTTACGCGTAATAACGCGTAAATAAAACATTAACGGTTTCAAACGGTATATATATGACTTAAACTTATTCCTCGAAACGTTGTCGCTGTAGTTAAAATAATTTTAACGAATATATCTCGTTTTAAACCGTTTAAGAGCTTTATTTAAATATAAGTAAAATCGAGTGGGGTTGTTTTTTTATGGGATTAACTTTATATCCTACACTCTAAACTGCCTGACAAATGACCTCATTTTTTTCAATTCAGCTGATATTGTCTTTGACCACTGCACTAATGTCAAGATACATTGTTGTTAAAGCCATATTTTTATTATATTATATATATCATTTGTAAACAATAGTTGCGACGCATGACTACATAAATATATTTACTGATTTATTTGTAAAATTTTCAGTACAAAGCGTTTAGTTTTCAACTATGCAAAACGAAGGTAAGGTCTTTAATTGTTATATACTCGTGTCAATATTTCAACCTATTAGTGCTCCACTGCTGGTAAAAGATCTCTTCTCGCATACGATTTTAAGTCTCGCACTGCCAAGCCCCACCCATACGTTATATCGCCTCCTCGGGTTTGAACTCTGAACCTCTACGTCCGGTCTTAGTATTTGAGAACAAAGTGTGGAATAAATATAGATCCATACGATTTTATAACTTTTTTAATTGATGGGCTGTTTGCTCTTAGTAGAGCTTTAATCGACGGGTTTGATCCCTATCGAGTGTAACATTTCTAATCAATTTACGTTTTTTCTGAAACATGTTAGACTTCGTCTGGAAATCTGGACATTAAATGTGTGATAGGAATATGGAAATTCTATAAAACCTTACAGAGTTTACACGAACCACTTCCCATAGATAAAAAAGGCGTAAAGTTCAGTGACGTTTCGGTTTGGCTAAATGGTGTCTACCCATTTAGCCAAACCGAGTCTTAATGAAATGTTATACGGCTGAGATATTTCACCCTCCATCAATCGAAGCCCAAGATTGTCTGTTCTCTTTTTTAACAAAAAGAATAGTTTATTTTCATACTTTAAAGTTGTTAAAGTTGATGACTATTTACATTTTTCACTAGAGGACTGTAAATGTATGAGAATCGGCGGTCAATTGGAAGCAGTACGCTGGAATCTCTGGCCTCGTTATTATCAGGCCAGCCCAGGCGTTTTAGCACTGGACGACTGGAATAACGACCCCCACATATGGCTTTACTATGTCGATAGTTCTGATGGCATACTTCCTGACGACGATGTTTTAAGGTACCATAGATAATATTTTTTTTTTACATTATTATAAAATCTGATAGATATCTAGATGTAAGTAGGCTTGTTATATAATCATTCCTTATAGGTATTTATATTATAAAGTTTTCTTACATCTCAAGTAAGTGAGATACCCCAGGCATATAACAACTAGAAAAAATGCCCTGTCAACTTATTTTGGCTTTGGATATTCGGGAATCCACAGACTGTAGCCGAAACCCTATTAAACTTGAGGGCTTTTTCATCTGTAGACGGTGGTGGTTCGTAACCCGGTCGGACTTTCGATATTCCTACCACCCATTTATTTCCAGACGAAGCCCAACATGTTTCAGAAATTAAAGAATTCAGAAAAATTATAAATTGATTAAAAAAATGTTGGGCCAACTGATTACTTCCATTACACCAACGAGTACGCCATTTAGAAGTACAACTATACATTTTAAAGGCGAGAATAATGTTTTTGACCCATTTTATAATTATCCTAATGTTTAGATGATATAGAGGCGATTGTTCGTTAACTGTTATCTTATGAACTTAACTTATCAATACAGCTTTTAGGCGAACTCTAGTTGGTGACTCTTATTTATAGTCCAGCTATTACAGGTCGACGAATCCTCGCTACTGGTCTATACATAATGTTCAGCGATACTTCGTCGGCCAGTTGCACTGCGAACAGGTTCTCTTCACCTACCAGTATCCAAACATCCGGATGCCGTCGCGTCTCGGCAGTTACTTGTGGAAGACAAACACAGCGCTGAAGCTGCCATCAGCTCTGTACATAAAAGAGTTGAATATGTCGCTGGATACCACTTTGAAGGTATTAAATTAAATTATATACTCTCTATAGTTTACTCGAGTAGTACACATTTAAATAAAACACTTTAACGATATAAAATGCGACTTATTAGTTAAACCTATTTGAAAATGATTTTTAACTTCGGCCCGACGTTTCGGATGCTTTGCAGCAGTCGTGGTCACGGGGAGATTGCTACAGGTATTAATAAATCTTAACCAATAGTCATCACCATCGTGAGTCAAATTTCAAATTTAAATAAAGGAGAGGTTCTAGGTTCGAATCCCAGACAACTGGCAAAGTTACAGAATGCAAAGGGGGACAAAAGAGATGGAGTAGGTTTTCGATTTGATCCCATTAGACTAAGTCTTCTCAAAGTAAATATTTTTTCTTAGGTCCACTTGCGGTTATTATGCAATATCTTAAAATATATATTTAATATTTAGTTTTAATTCACAATGATATTATCTTGTCATAGAAAATGGTGGAAAATGAAGCCCAAATGCATCGTTTGATCATATGTGACCAACTTGTCAAAATTGCGCAACTGGACCATCATAAGCGACAAACGTTTTTCAGATTAGTTCAAGACATTATGAGGTAAAGAATAACAGACATACAGAGATTATCAATAGGGTACAGCCTTTACCCTTTCGGTACAAAACCCTACAATTTGTGAAGTACCTTATTCCCTATGTGGGTAAGGGGCAACGTAAAAATTTTTTTTATTTTTCTGATAACGCTATTGTATTGGCCCCTTGTTGAATATTGGTAAAATATTAGGTAAAATCTAATAATATAAAATAAAAACAAATTTTGTAGTTACCTAATAATTATTGAAATTTTTATTTTTACTTAGAAAAGGTGGTAATTTTATTTTTTGGTAGCAATGAACTTTGGTCTTCACTTATTTACCTACATAAGATGTTCAGGGTCTCAAAACCCACTCAATAATAATAATTTTAACATTGCACATTTGTGCATGAAGCCTCTTACGTAGTAAAAAAAAAAGTTTGCCGAGCGCCACAAACGAGGTAAAGGGCACCCCACACACCACCCACACAGTTTCCAGGACAACTTGGAGCTGGTTTCCTTGGAAAACATGTGCTGCACGCGACTCGAAGGTGTGCGTCTGATCCAACAGCTGGCCTGCTTTAATTCACACTCATTGAAATACCTATTTCTATGGCAATTTGTTCTCCCTAACGAGAACCCACTGCTCATCAACTATAGCTACATTACTGGTATGTCTAAAAGACCCTTCTAGATCGATTTTATTTACAAGCAAACATTTAAGTTGTCTATACCCAAATCGACCGATATCTTTGAAAGAAGAAACGAAATCGATGAAAGACTACGCCCTATATATCTACAATTATTTATGTAAAATCTAGTGACATATCATTGTTGTTTTACATATGACGCTGCTAGAGGCAGAGTGGCCTAAGAGGCAATAAGAGGGAATAAAAATGATGCAACTAACTGAAAATGGATTCGGTCACTATGCTCTTGTAGATTAACCTTTTTAATTTTAGTTTGCAGTTAGGCTACTCAGCCTGTGGCTGCCTCATATATTGGGGTCACCAATTGGTGATACAATATCAGCATCTGATAGGTTTTACGAAAATAACTTTACTGTGTCTAAAAAAACGTTATGCGTAATTATCTAAATTTAAATTTTTGATTAAAAACGGGAAATTATGTTTTTCATCAGTCGTAACATCGGGCCGTTGTTAAAATTATTTGTAAATAAGTTAACTATTACATATCGCGCCTTTCATCGCAAAAAGTGTACATTTAAATGTATTAGTATACACCGGGTAACCTACCGATGGTACTTTAAAAAATTACTAATATAATTGACGTGTTTGACATTTGTCATGTGTTTAGTCGAAATTGAAAAGTAAAAAGTAGAAATCGAATTCAAAATGTTACTGTGCGGCCCAATATTACTGTTTTGCATCCCCTGTTTGAAGTTGCTGTGTGTTATTGTGCCTTGTGCTGCCATTTTGAGCCTGTTCGGAGTATACGTTGGTGGGATGTTCCCAACATTTACGAACGTTACTCAGACTAAAGTATATACCTTTATAAACAATACGTCTCTTTAAACCGTGTCTTGTCGGGACCTAGAAAGACATTTAAACGACGGTGCAGAGTTACTAGCTACTAAAAGTATTATTGGTATTCAGTAAGCGATATTAATATTGAGACCAATGCCGTTACCATGGCAAACAGTCAACATAAACGACTTGCTTTAATTTTGAGAGAGACACACCTAGTTTTCTTTATAATTTTTAGACAATTATTGCACGGTTAGTATTATTAATCAAATTTGATATTAACATTTGGGACAATAATACTAGTAATACTTATACATGGCAACCCTTCCAGCAAAATGACGACCGACGAGGAGAAATGCAAAGTGGCAAAGCTGCTTCAAGATTTAGACGTGCCGGAGTTAAAGATGCCGGAACGATGTTCAACCTTGGTTAAAGAGTTTGAAGAGAAATTTGGACAAGACATTTACGACGCTACGGATGAATCAACGCCTATCTATGAGAATCCGTATATTGTCGACAAAGAGCTTTTGGAAGAAAACGAGAGGAAATTAAAGGCGTTATTGGCTACACATAAACGGTTAACTTAATACTATCTAATAAAATTTCATTAATTGAAAATGATGAGATGGAAATTATGTAATATATACTATGCATAAATAAATTGGACACAAAGTAGATGCTGATCAGTGATCTGTGGGCTCAGCTCGAACAATTATTTTATTGTTTTATTAGGATTACTGAGTTATTTAGTTTGTCTTGTTCAAATGACGATCATCATTTCGAGATGTCGATTCTAAAAAAAAAAAAACCTTTCAGATCGAAAAAGGTGGTAACGGACAAAGTAATTGTGACAGGACCAGACCCCAAGCGTCCCTGGCGAACCCAGACCAATAGGGAGAAGTTATTGCGAATCGATAGCGATCTGAGACGACACTTGGAAAAAGCCGCTGACGCCATAACACCAATGACGGACGCTGATATGAAGGAACTAATGACTCAGTGCCTGGAGAATTCTGCTAACCAAACAGTGAGGTCGGACCGTCTCCGCGAGACCGTTGACGAGGCAAGGCGGAATCTACCCAATTTTCAATACCGTAAAATCGAAAATAGCACAGCAACTTGTATACTTTTGAACGCCCACGAACCAGTGGAACGGCAGACACCGAATCAGAACATGGTACAGCTGAATTCTTATAGTGAACTTCAAGCTGATGAAGATAGTGTGCCCAATCTTCAGAACCTTTGTCAATCTTAATTTTGTCAATATATATTTTTGAAAAGTTTATCGCTTTTATACTTATGCGCATATTGATGTATTACATCAATTACAAATCTTGCCTTTTTATTAGAAGCACAGTGGGTCTTGGAGGGTCCGGTAAAAGTCGTTTAAGTACTTTTAGGAAAAGTAATGATTCCTCCATACATTTTTATTTTACAATTGTAATGAAATAGCAACACCTTCGGTCTATCTTTGTCTTGCAAAACACATTTATTTATCATATAAAGCTGAAGAAACCAAGCTTAAAAAAATGCGACGTATTTATTTTAGATCTCCACGAGTAACTTCATGAAATGTTGTACTTTACTACCCTGCCTTGTAACTGAACGTATTACCTAGCATTGTTAAACACGAGAGATCATGGGTTCGGATCTCGGTGAAACATTCATTTCGTTTCGACAGGGGACAGAAAGTTGATTATAAAGTTTATTCCAGGCAGTGGAAAGCACGTACCGCGTCATGTAACTCGACAATGTTTTCTCCGGAGCTTGGGTGAGATGCGAAATCTTCGTGTTCTTGCTTTGGAATATGCACATTTGGCGGATAGTACAGGGGCCGCCCTTATATCTTTGTTACCTGTTATACGAAGACCGCATTTTAGGCTACAGGTAAGTTCCATATGTAATTTGAGGGGCTCGTTGGTTTAAGGTCGAAATTCGTTTTATTAGAATATCTCATAACATCTAGGTATAATTTATATGTCACATGTTAGACACATTTAGTCTGAAAAATTTGAAGAAGGAATATCAATTTATACTAATATATAAAGCTGAAGATTTTGTTTGTTTGAACGCGCTAATCTCGGAAACTACTGGTTCAAATAATAAAAAAAAATGTGTTAGAGTATTTATTGAGGAAGGTTATAAAAACATAACTCTGTGAATAACAGGAGCGAAGAAACAGCTGGAAATGTAAAAATAAACGGAGAATATTATTCATCCCAGTGGGTTTCCATTGCATACGCTGCGAAAACGATTCAAGATACCCAAAAAATATGTAGTAAAGAGTTATTCCTCTTTCAATGATCTAAAAAAATCCGCGAAAGTATTTGTCTATATTTTAAGATAAACTTGCAAGAACGGCGGGATGCGGACGACGTCGGGGGTAACAGCTCAAATTTATAGAGTTGAAATGTATGTATGTGAAAAAAATTGACATCCAAAATAATTATTCTACGCGTACGAAGTCGCGTGACACAGCTAGTTTATAATAAGTGAAGTATGAATCTGCAATTCGATTTCAGCCTATGGACTTCAGAAAGCGGTTTTTTCTCCAATAAAATTTTAGAATTTTAAAATAATAATATAATTATGTAGTCTTATTGTATTGCTGATGAATTGGATTTTAATTTAAAAATCGAAAATAAATTGAAAAAATTTTCGACTCGGGCAGGACTTGAACCGGCATCATCAGCTTTCCGTGCTGTTGCTCTCAATTGGTAGAGCATTTTTAAATTATATAGTGCCTTCATGTGCAATAACATGTAAAAAATATTAATCTTTTCAGAATTGGATTTTATCTGAAATGGCAGGATGTATTTGTGAATAAAGCATATTAAACCAAAAACAGATACCTAAGCATTTTTTTTTCAATATTTTTTTTACGTTTAATTACATTTGTAAGCTATCCAAATTATCATCATTATTTTGGGGCGAAAGTCATTAAAGTCTACCAACCTATGGATCTAAAATTCTATGAAATGAATCATATGAAATCCCTATAAAAATGGAATCATGAACTCAGCAGTGGGACATAATGAACGAAGTCCATTTCAAAGGCTATACTTAGTTAGTTTAAGTAATTCATTACATAATACAGCTTCTATTAACTTTGATAGTTGATTTGCCGAGAAAATCAAACGCCTGGTCGTGCAGATGCGGCGATGGGCGTGGGCGGCCATCACATCCCCGATACGGCCTGGCGTCGTGTTAACATATCTTGTCCCGATCTCTACTTACTAATGGCCTTTTGTAAGTTAATTGATTTATAGGCTGTGCCAGCCATTTTGTCTACGTAGAATAATTATTTTTTCCATCAAAACTTGTTTTTGCAAACATCAACATAGAATTTGTTTGTTAGTAACGCGCAAATCTAAGAAACTACTGGTTCGAATTAAAAAAATATTTTTTAAAGATTTATCAAGAATGATTTGATGATATTTATAAAGAACTAGCGGCCCTGTCCCGGCTTCGCACGGGTAGACATAGATAAGTAAAAATATTTAAATTATAAGCATGCTAATTAAAACGACCATGAATCACTAAATTATAAAACTCCACCACTCTATTAACGACCGTGGTCTATCTCGCTGGTTTAGAAGCCGCTGCGAGCATTCAGTGTTAGTGTCCCGTGCACGCGTTCGCGAATTCATAGCTCTATTTCCTTCAAGTCGCTGCGACGATCTTGCATTTTGTTCTGCAAGACGAACCTGAACGTTCGACGATAGAATCTCTGGCTTGCGATTGGGACGCGTACACTCTAATACTTTCCAGGCGATCATTTTAGGAAGAAGACTCTCCAATACGACGAACTTGCAAGTCTCGCTTGGAAACTGTTCTTAGATATCTGCGACCTTCTTCTTCTAGGCATATTGCTATGAAGGATATTTATTTTAAATGAGAGAAATTAAAAATAAACTAATAATAATACAAAAGAAAATATTCAAGTTGAAAGCGATAATTCTGAAAAGAACTGTGACAAATATTATGCAGTGTGATTCCTAATACTAAACTAAGTAGCTTTGAAAAGAACTTTTTAAGTGAAGCATAAAAATGTTTTAAAAAAAATCGAAATATTCAATGTCGTTCGCGCCCACTGCGTAAGGAGCCCACTGCCCCTCTATCGTCGAATTAGATACCTACTGGCGGCCACCGCCGGCAAGCTATTTCATTTTAACTTCGTGATATCTTTTGAATGGAATGTCCGATTTCAATAATACAAATCTTTCCTCTTTATAATATTAGTATTATAAAGAGGAAAGATTTGTATTTTTGTATGTAACGGGTAAACTCAAAAAGTACTGGACCGATTTTAATAATTATTTTTTCATTAGAAAGCTACATTATCACTGAATAACATAGACTATATTTAGTAATCGATTACTATAGGCATCTATAGAAATTCTTACTAAAACCAACGGAAGGCGTAAAAAATTCGCGAACGCTCGCAGCGGCTCCTGACACCGCGTGATAGACAAAGGTCGTTAACAGCTAGGACGCGAAATACATTTTTGTCTAATTTAGTGATTCATGGTCGTTTTAATTAGCATGCTTATAATTTTAATATCTGTACTTATTTATGTCTACCCGTGCGAAGCCGGGACAGGGCCGCTAGTAATTTATAAAGATGAGAAGGTTTGGTTAAGGTAATTAAATAAAGCTTGAAATTTTTAGCAGTTACGTAAATTACACGGTGTAGCTGGTTCGATGCCCACCTGAGCCAACAATTCTATAATACACTCTAACTTTTAAGTTCGCGTGCGGGACTATGACAACATCCGTCGATTTCTAACACCGAGCATCCCACTTCGTGAAACACATTTGCAGTATGGGATAGACATGTACAAATCGCAGAGGCAAGATTCGGATCTGAGTTGTTTTGTTCGACACATTGCGGGGCGATATGGAAGTACCTTAGGTAACATTCGGATTCAAATCTTTCTTTTTCTATCAGGGGTAGTCTCGTAGGTGAAGTGTTTATGCACTCGAACGCAGATCACGACATCCTGGGTTCGAAGTCGGTACGGACAAAGAACGATAGCCAAAGTTGTATAAGTACTGGACCTGACAAAAAAGCATTAAATAAATATAAATATTATAACAGAAATTTCCAAAAAAAAAAAAGACAAGAGTTCAGATGCAGGAGGTTGTTATCCCTCAATGTCCACTCACCCGCACTGATGCAGCGTGGTAGTCTTACCTATTAAAAGTCTATGGATTTAGGATTAAGTTGACTTTTTAATTGACTCTCGGTTTGATAAACATCACACGCTCTCGATTTTTACGTTTCAGTAACGTTAAGTATTCACCAATGGCGAGGAGTGACATTCCCCTTGCGACGAATAATTGAGCTCATGCCAAGTCTGATGAGGATCCTGTATATTGGAGTCGTGGATCAAGAGGATCTTAAGTGTATGCTGAATATGATCGCGTGTGGAGTGATGAGAAGTTGGTCCCTAATCTAGACTAATATTAAAAATTAGTTAAACAGGACGTCAAGAAATGGAGATGCAATGTGTTCATATTTTTTTAATAGACAAGTAATTGATAAGATTATGCCCCTCCCGCCCGAAACTACGCCATAAAAAAAGTAAAATCACACGTTATTAAAAAAAAGTCTCCACTTAACAAAAACCAACCAACCGCCACAACAACATAACCACCTAATCGATGTACTCCTTAATTTGTTTCTATGATTTATTAATATTTATTGAAATCTTTCCAAAGATCGTCCTGTGGTTACAGACTGAAAAACAGCGCTGTGCGATCTCGTTCGCAGCATTTAGCTGAGTCTGAATTTAGAGGTACAAAATATTAGTTTTTTGTTTCTTTCGTTCAAATATTCCCTCCAGGGCCTTGCGCCTAAAGCATTGTTTAATTTAAAAATCGAAAAAAAATTGTTGTCGACTCGGGCAGGACTTGAACGGGCATCGTCAGCGTTCCGTGCTGTTGCTCTACCAGCGAACTTATTTTCGATTTTTAAATTATATAGTGCCTTCATGTGTAATAACATGTAAAAAATAATAAAGTTTTCTAAAGCATTGTTATATTTTATATTATGTAGTTATATTCTAAACAACAAATAAATAAATAACTCGTTAACATTATTTTTTAGAATTGAAGCAAGTTAACATTCAAGTGCAAGATGATGAAAAGAGCCGTAGTAAATGGGAGACCGCTATAGCAAAGCTGAATGAGGAATTCAATGACATTATTGCGTTATACGATATTGAGTTTTGTCTGACTGTTTATAAGAACTAAATTGCCTCGCATATGTGCATGTCGCAATGGGCCTCATAGTGTACGAATTCAACTATGCAATAGGTATCTCGAGACTTCATATTAGGATCTCCAACACTTCTCTACGATAGGCCACTGCGAATTAAACTTAACGCTGCTTTCCATAGTTTTTAAAACTTCTTTTAACATGACCGGCAATCGCAATATTTTAATAACCAAACGATGTCATTAGAATTCAAAATGGCATTTATGTTTGATGGTATGCCATTTTTGGTAATGTTTTTTGGGAGATAAGTGTCTATAACGATTTTTATTAAAGGTAAAAAACATCAAACAAAATACATTTACTGTTCTTTAATTAATTGTTTGGAAAACTACGTACTTCGTTTTTAATAATGTATTACAGGTCACGTCTACAGTATTTTAAATCTTTAGCCATGTCACAGAGTAAGTACTTATATCTCGCAAAGCACCATAATATTGTCTATTTTAGTAGAAATAAAAGCATGTTTGTAAGAAAGGTTTTACTTTTAATCTATTTTAGAACATTCAGGGATGATGCAAATTAATCATTAGCTTCAAAGCATGTACATACATAGAGGTAAAGGGGGGTTGAAACGACAGAACAAAACCTCGAGTCATGAAATAATTCATTTATTTACAACATTATTATAATTAATGTCGGGGAGTGACCGTATCTTGTCGACACGATCGACAGGAGGGCCACTCACGATCAAAATATATGTAATGTAATGATGAATAAAATGATGGTTCAGTAAATAAGTGTTGAACCATCTATACGGAAAATATTGTTTTTTTTGTTGTTTAAATAAAACATCCATAAAATACTAATGCTTCGCGCCCTGTCAAGGCTAAAAAATTATTTCGACTCGAATCGTCCCAGAACCTTCGTTAACCTTCAACGGGCGCGCGGTTTATTTGTGACGGTAATGTTGATAATGAAACTTTAATATAAATATGACTATCAGGAACATTTGCAATTAACATTATTTTGTCGTGTGTGTGTGTGTGTGTGGGGTTTGCGTGTTAAAGGCTGCTAGTTAGGCGGTTATTAGTTTCTAATACTCGGTCAGGTTGCGTACCCGTTTCTTTGTCTCCCGTAATATTTGTGAATTCTTGCAAATTATTTTTAAAGGAATTCTATAATAATGACAAAATACGCAAATGGCGCGCACGTAGTCGTAGTCAGGAGTGAATTATTATTAAGTGAAAATGTGACATGTATTGGCCGATTAGACGTCGCCCGCTTGAAGGTCAAAGAATTTAAAAAAAATTACAATTAGCATCTTATGTACCTTGAATGTTATATAATACGTTTAATTTGCATATGACGCGGGCCTTAGTCGAATTAAAATTAACCGAGTTACAACTACGTTTCATCTAGCATATTTTCGTCTTTGCCATTTGTTTTTATAACGACGAATATAATATTTTTAACGTTTTAATATTATCTTAATTGATGTCCTATTTATATCAAACAAATATGACCGCCGCACAGAATTGTATATCAATGAAATGAACGAGTTGAAATAAACTAACAACATTGTTGAAGGGAAATCTGGCCAGCCAACGGTTAATTTTAAAAGAAAGTTGTAATCAATCGTTAAAACATATCACAGTATTGAAGGAAGCTGGGAGGTTCTATAATGTTGCGGTGGCGTGTGGGCTCGAATTCATTTGACAATTACTTAAATCGTTTTTTCTGTACGGAAAATGTGTAGAAAACCTTATAACTCACTCGCTGCCCCGTAAAATTTTAGTTGCTTCATAAAAACTTTTATTAATGAAAAAATAAATATCTCAAAGCACTTAGTTTTTTATTTTATATCTATTCCAATGCTTGTTTGGGTATTTTTGTTGTGTGAATCCATGGAATAAAATAAAAAAATAAATTCATAACTGCAAATGCTGCTAATAATATGATTTGATAAATTGTATTTTTTTCCGTCAAATATTAAAATATAAATACATAAAATGACGTCAAAGCGCTGTAATTTTTTTTATATATATATTTTTTTTTTTTACTTTTTTGCACGTTAACGTCAATTCTATTAAAAAAGGGGGTTCACTCAATATTTACAATGAGCCCCGCTTTAAATATCATAAAATAAAATAAGAATATCTTCTAAAATTAAAGATTTAGCCGCTCAACACTAGTAGCGCGCGTATAAGCGCTTCGGTGTCAGGACGGCTCGGTGCGACCGGTCACGGCTGTTCTGGGACCTCGATATTCGTTTTAATAACGAGAACAGTCGCAGGGACAGGGCTCTGCGTCAGGCCTCGGAGCAAGAGTCCTCGTTGTCCGCCTCCCTTATGTTCGTAAAGAACGATGTCAGCGCCTTTAGCATTACCGCTGCAACACAAATGGCGTGCATGTTAATTTGCATTCAATTTGAAAATATTTATCCTACAAAAAAGAAAAACGACTGAATAACATACCTTTCCCTTCCGGTTCCTTTTCGGACGTCTCCCAAGCGATGAATCCTTCGACCGATATTATGTACTGCTCGTGCAAGTATTGGAATATCTCTAAGGTCAGCCCTAAAAAATCAACGAAATATTTGGTTAAACTTATTCCCTGATTGATGTTTTAGTCTGTCAGAGACTAAAACGCACAACAGTGCGCATAAAAACAGAAAGAGTATGTCTCTTATATAGTCGTTTCGGACAGTAAGGATCAGCGTAAATTACCTTGCGGATGCTCGAGCCGATGGATCAGCTGTTGGATTCCGAAGAGGCACGAGGCCTCCCGCGGCGCCTGCGACTCGGCGTAGTCGCCGATGAGAGGAGAGTACTTGTTCATACGGTCGTGGTTGAAATGCGCGGCGGGCGAGCGCTCGGGGCCGAAGAGGGCGTGCTCGCAGATCGCCTGCGTCAGGCACCGCAAGAACCACTCCTCGGAAGTCGACGCACCGATGTTGTCCTAAGCGATACAAGTTAAAAATCTGGACTTCTTACATTAATACGCAGCTTGAAATTACAATGCGTGAAAGGTGCAAGTTGCAAAAGGTTGAAAAAATTCGACGATGACGTGTAGGACACGGTATCTCAATTGTAACTGGTAGTTCGAGTAACAGCACGGAACGCGGTGGATGCCATTTCAAGTCCTGCCCGTGACGTAGAATTGCTTCATTCTATAATCGGTTTTTATTTATATAAGTTTCAAACTGTTTTCTGTTCCAAAATTGTTTCCTTTCATTAGAATTAGAAATAATTATATAGCAACTCAAACAATACTCCGCCTTGCTGCCCGTATAAAGTGAATAGCAAACATCGTACGAATCCATATGGTCTTGGGTCGGCCAAAATGTTAGTTTCGTATTTACAAATTTTCTGGGAAAACTTCTACCAGGTTCAAAGTCTGAAAGTTTTAGATAGCTTACGTACGTAAAGCTCTCTGTCATATGTTGTACTGGAGTTGTAGATCTGGGATCAGCAATAGATGAACCTCTAATTCCGATAGACACCAGTGACTTTTTGACTGCCTATTTGGCATAGTGGAATCGTCTCAAAAGAATAGAAGAAAAATGAAAACAGCTCACCTTTACCCATCCACGTAAGCAGTCGCAGCTCTCGTCGCTATTCATTAGCTGTAGCAGCTTGTTCTGCGTTTCGTTCGGAGTCATTATCCGCTTCGTGTCGTCTTCGTGGATGTTCACAGAGCCGTCCAAAAATTCAAAGTGATTGTCAGACAGCCACTTTGATACCTGTATGATTTCCAAAATACAATATCAACTTTAATTAGTAATCATTTTTGTAAAAAGAAAACTATTTTTAATGGTTTTAAAAGGAAGACCCTTCGCAATGTGTATTCTATACTAATATATAAAGCTGAAGAGTTTGTTTGTTTAGATGTTTGAATGCGCTAATCCCAGGTACTACGGATTCGAATTGAAAATTTATTTCTGTGTTGGTTAGAACATTTATCGCGGAAGGCTATAAAACATCGCCCTGTGACTAATAAGAACGAAGATACAGCGAGAATTGTGAAAAAATATTTATAGTTAGAGTTTCCGAGGCGTACGCTGCAAAAACGGTACGGTTTTTGCAGGTACGGTAAGGTACCCAAAAAATCTGTACGAAATAATGATTCCTCCTTAAATTATCTAAAAAAAGCCTGCGATGCTATATGTCTATCTTTTAAGATTAACTTGCAAGAACGATGGGAAGGGACGCGACCCGACGTCTTGGGTGACAGTTTAAGTTTATAAAGATGAAGGGGTTTGTAAAAATGAATTTGGATGCCCAAAATATCGCTTCGCGTATTGTGTATTTGCGACAGCGTACCATATCAGCATTCATCCATTGCGAGAACTTGAGGCCGGACTCGTGCCACTTCGACTTCGTGAACGTGGGTCCCATACTGTCTTTCAGGTCCTTGAGCACCGCTCGCAGCAGCAGGTGGCCGTGATTCACCGAGATTACGCTTTTACTGCTCTTGTACACCTGTTCGAGGGTCACGTTCTGGAAAAAACACGTATTTCATTATAGCTCGCTACTCATAGAATATCACAATATACTTTTTACCTGACTGTGATAAGGAAACGGTTTTCAGAAAGCAAGCAGACACAGAATATTCAAGATCATGGTCAAGTCATTTCTCATACCTTCTTCTCAATGTGCGGCGCGATAAACTTGCCGAGATATTCGTACAGCATAGGTATATCGATGTATAGGTCGGCAGCACACTCGAGTATCTCCGACACGCCGGCCATAAAATTATCTGGCGATATTGCGCCGGAGTTGACGACATGCATCGCGGATTTGACTAGCAGGCCGATTTCCTTTGCGTTCCTATTCACAAAGTAAAGACAAAACATTTAAAGAAGAAAGAAAGAAAAGAGACAAAGAAAATTGAAGAAAATGCTCACTTCTCCAATGCAATATTCAATATCTCCGTGATGATTGCAGCGTGGTGCTGCGGCGAGAATAGCTTGATCTCCTCTACCATTTCGTCGTCGTTCGGGTTCATGAGGCATAGCTCCACAATTTGCTTCACCAATTTTTGCTTATCTGCCGGAAGAGGTTCCTGCTGGACATTGGCGGCTGGCGTCTTCGGTCGAGGCGCGATGGGTTCCGCAGGGGTGACGGAGGGTGAACGCGTGCCCGAGTTGGAACGAGCAGCCACGGTTGAACCGGACCGACCTCCAGAGTCTGGAGGTTAATTTATTGTTACAAAATGTGTGTGTTGATTATGTGCAAGGAATTGAACAAAGTTTTGCGGTCAACTATATCGTTTTCTGCCGGAAATTATTATATTAAATGAGAATTATAATATTTACACTTGGAAAATAATATTCCTCTATCTATACTAATAATAATATTAGTAATAGGTAGTTAATAAAGCTGAAGACTTGTATGTTTATTTGAACTCCCGAATCTCAGTTTGATATTCAAAATTATGCGTGTAAAATTGATATAATTTCAAAAACAAATGTTGTTGCTTAAAATGACGAATCTACGCGGCCACAGCTAGTATTCGATGTATACTTAATCGTATCTGTAGGTCTTTTAATGAAAGAAAAAGGCAACTGTAACGATTCTGGGTTTTCCTTCTATTTTGCGAATCCTTTCGAACACGTCTTCGACTCGCAATTGGCCGTTTTATTTTACACTTATTGCAGTGAGTAAATATAGAGACGCAGCGTGTGCATCGGTATTACACAATGCCCAACAATAATTAAGGTAAGCCATACTCACTGTCCAAGCCAACTAAGAAAAAAAAATCATCAAGGTATTATTATTTCAGCATACACCCTACATTATTAAGTTATTATTTTCAAGGATTTCGTTGTACTCAATCTAATATGAAGACATTCTATAGAAAAGACGGGTGGCAGACACTTACGGAAATCAGGACGAGAGCTGAAAGTAGACCTTTCAATGGATTTCGAATGAGTGTAGGCTGCTGGCGCCAAGTCTTTGCTATCTGTAGAGTAAAATATTATATTTAAAAAGATATCCAGATTTTCCAAAGCAACCTTCAACATTATAATTAACTAGCTAGCTAGGTTTTCATACATTTTATTTCGCAGCGCTCGCAACGGTAACTCTCAAATATGAATATTTTTTTCCGTTGTCATAATATTAAACAAACTGTCAGACGTCCCATGATATTTTAACAATACTGCAGTAGTACGTGGGTAGTTATTTTCCTTTCCAAGCTTGTGTCGTAGGTGTCTAGTAATCATTGAATACACACTACATTGGTCATTAAATAAGACACATAGTAACAAATATTGTACAGTATTGTAAAGTTATTTGCTAAAGCTGACAAAATTAATATTCTGTAGCTGTATAGTAATATAGTAAAAATAGTTTAAAAATCGAAAATAAATTGAAAAAATTTTCGACTCGGGCAGGACTTGAACCGGCATCGTCAGCTTTCGCTCATCGTCGAATTTTTTCAACTTATTGATACATGCACCTCTCGCGCAATGTAATTTCTACCTTTAACACTTGCGTATTAAGGTAGAAAACAAAAAAGGTCCGGTTCAAGTCCTGCCCGAGTCGAAAATTTTTTCAATTTATTTTCGATTTTTAAATTATATAGTGCCTTCATGTGCAATAACATGTGAAAAATATTAATGTTTTCAAACGTAAAAATAGTTACTTCTGAGAGAGGTCGGGTCGGCTTGTACATTTTCAAGCATACCGAACGGGTTGGTCATGGGCGGTATGGCCTGCTGAGTCACTTTGGTGCCCGATCCTTGGTTCCACGCGCTCTGGTGTGGCGCCAACTTTATACTGCTCAGGTTCTACAAATTTACATAATAGATTGTAACTACGACTTTCTTGGGTTACGAAACCTAGGAAAGCAAAGAAGATCAAGATCGTCTGGTGTACCTTCTGTGGCGTCACCCCCTTCAATTTAGTAGTGTCTACGACGTAACTACTCCTAGTCGAGGTTGTCTTCCACGTGTTGTCGACGAAGTTTCCTCCGCCGCCCTGGCGACGGCCTTCACCTCCTCGCTTCCTGCCGCCGCCTTCCTCGCGGCGGAAGCCACCGCCTCCACCACCACCCATCGACGAATTCATCAACTGTGGAATTTTTTTGTTTAAAAACTATATGAAAATTGTTTACCAATGGAAACACTATGTGTGTGTTTTTGTTAGCTGTTAGAACAAGTTTTCAATACATTAAGTTTCATATCATAAATATAGACATATATGAAATGTAATTTAAAATGTATTTTTCTGCATCTTGATCAACAATATCATATTTATAATGCGAATGAGTACGGAATATAGGTCCAATACAAAAACCCAGCAGGAAACACTTTACAGAAAAAAAAACTATTTTTTCTACCTCTATATGGCGTTGGTGCTGTTCAGCCTCTTTCTGGATTTGATCCATCATCTTGGGCTGCGAGTCGATCACATTCTTGGCTACCCATTTGCGCCGCCTTAGTTCAATCACATCCTGTAATTATGTATAAAATGAACATACAGAAAAGTAGGTTTTTATATTGTTTGTTATCCTAGGTCAGGAAAAACCTATTAATAACTTTCAACTCTTACCTGTATCATAAACCGGACACGGCTGCTAATCTTGTTCTTGCGGTCATTGACAATATCCTGCATCCGCTTGAAGATAGCCTCAAGCTGCTCTCTGACCTCGCTTTCCACCTGCTCGCCGATCGTGGTCAGCAACTTGCAAAGGCACTCCAACTTCTCCTCTTCGAGTTTCTCGATCAGATGAGTCATACAGAATACCATGATCTTGGCAGTCAGCATTTTCAACTTGTACAGCTCACCTGTTCAGATCATACGAATTATCTAGACTAAGGTCGAACTCTTTTGACTTAAGAACCCCAGTCCTCATATAATCAAAATGACTTTCTGGTAGACATTAGTAAAGTCAATAGTATAGTCGGTCAGTACAGCTTTGAAGTCGATCTGACTCGTATAGGCAAATTGCTTTAGTAGTTAACATTCAGTCCGCCATTTTGTAAAGGAACAAATACCTACCTTTAGAGTACAATAAAATTAGAAAATGTTTTTTATTCATAATATGAAATATGTGAACCGTGAGGGTGCGAGATCGATTCGTACTTAGTCGGTTTTATAGTCAACACAAGTAACTTAAAATATCTTTCGTATCATATAAAACAAGGGCACCTATCTTAGTCATTAATAAATGTCTAGAATATAAAGGGGAAGCTCAGAAAATGTGCGTAACTAAATTAAGTGTTTAATCTAATTTCGTACGATAATGTGATAATACGGTTACGTAAGTGATACGGTGGCACTTGTGTCTTTCGTTATAAAGTAAAATTAATAAAAATTATTAGATGTTTGCGGATGATCTCCATGAATAAAACGGCTCGACAGATTTGTGGGAAATGTTTAATAGTTCGTACACGGTAGTTTTGTGGTCTCGATATTTTTATACTTATTTATTTTTTTTATTCTAATTTAATTTAATCAAGTCCCCGCTATTGCGTGGAATAAATGACAAATATTGAAAACAACCCTAACAAACACGTTGCCTAGCATCGCATTACGTTAAGCACGATGGGTTTTATTGTCAGGGTAACAATAAATTGACTCAAACAGGGCACTTACTACTTTTGCCAATTAATAAAATCAATCATTGGAAAAGACACAGGATAGGATGCGACCAGACAGATAGAACCCGATATCACAGTTACTTAACCGTCGTTAACTAGCGGTTCATCCATGCGTCGAAATTGACAGTCGCAAACATGCCACATCGAGAAATGAACTATGACGTGATGATGTGAGTCTCAAAAATTCCTTTCTATTTTCAGCCGTGAGTCAAATAAGTTAGCGACAGTTAAGAAACCATGGCGAAAACCGGCTTTCGAAAGCTTCACTCAAATACAATTTAGTGATCTTCTAGAATACACCGAATTCGATACACACTTTAGTTCGATTTAATTAATAACTAATTCGTCAAAACAGTCATTAAACATGCACCTACATTTTATTCAACATCTTTGTCAGCGAAACAATCAGCTAGAAAGATTAGTATAATCTAGTACACTAAATTCTCGGATCAAAACGTTTCCCGTAACTTGAGAACTGATCTAATTTTGTGGTAAAACAATGTTTTCAACTTGAGTAAAATAAAATGAAATTTATACACATTTATACAATAAAAAGGGCTAATTTCAGGCTACACAAGTGCACAAGGATTTAACTATTTGTGAAGTGTTCTATCTTTTTAAGTGGGTTAAATTACTTGTGGTTATAATAAAGATTTTTTTTTCCTTATAATACCCCTACATTTTATTACAAAATGTGTATTTTTCATTGAAATTATATCTCTTATTTGTTATTAGTTTTTTTCTATAACGAAACAAATCAATAATTACTCACCAATAAATCTGACGTTACCAACAGAGCGCATACGCACTCGTCTCTGCTGTTCTTCCAGCTGCAGATGCAATTCCTTCTTCTTAGCCTGTGACAGTGGAAAGATTAGCATCTGAATAAGACACTTCAACTTAAATTAAGAATACATTGGTTTGTGAGGTCGTCGTAACATCTTTGCTTAATATCGTTGTTTTATATTTTTATACAAAAAAACCCTTCGCGTCAAGTAGGCATAATTGACTCAATATAAATCGACCTTTTGCAATGCACTTACCTGGTCATTGCATTCGGCGATTTCAGCCCGTATCTTGATAACGTTTTCATCAGTCTCCTCTTTGACGAACTGGCTCTGGCACTTGCTGATAATCATCGCGCGGAAGTTCACGCACGCGTTGTCGTGCGAGTTTGCCACTGGGACCTGGCGTAAAGTACAAACCAATTAGACGTATTCTTTTGCTTTTGTGTATCGACATAATAAATAGATAAAAAGATAGGAAAGGGTAAGGACATTTCCTTACCCTATGCGTAGACAGCTTGTTGCACATGGCGGCGTAGGCTTCGGAGAAGTTGGGCTCGTCTATCGCCTTCTGGAAGACCAGATCGATGACGCCGTCGAGCCGCTCCTGCGTGTCGATCTCGAGGGTTTTCACCTTGTCTATGAGGGTGTCGAACTTCTGCGGCGTCAACTTGTTTAGGATACCGCGGAACTTCTTGTACAGCTCCTGAGATAAACTCAATTTTAGTATGTAGGCAGTTTGTATAGACATTTGATCACCTAATAACATTTTTATGTAGTATACCTGCGTCTTCAACTCTTGCTCGTCGAGAGTCTCCTTCTTTAGCCTGGCCGGTTTCCAGGCATCCTTCGTCTCATTAAGCTTCACTTCTTCACGAAGGGAAATAAAGATATTGCGTCCGCCGCTGCCGCTCGATGGCGAGTTCAACTTCATACTGCCTTTGCCTGTGCACAAACATTAGATAGCAATGTTTAAAAATGCAGTTTATCTGTTGAAAATATACGAAAAATGTCTGAAATAGAAAATATTCTAAAAATTGTCTCGGTTAAAAGAGGCAATTCTTACTGATTTTTAGCCAGTTGTTGTTTATGTCGTATACATATGTATAATACAATTTCTACCTCCTACTAACAATTGGCAAAGTATACTATAACTTTTACCTGTTGGGTTCCCTACACTCCTTCCGTCCTTCTTGTTGTCGCGCATAATGGGGGCGCGCATATTCCCTGAGGAAGAGTTCTTAAGGAAGTTGGGGAAGACGGCATCGTTTAGCGGCCTTTGGATCTGATTGAACACCAGCATCGGATCTTGCATTGGGGCAGTCTGTGGAGTCAATACAATATATAAGACCTCCTAAAGTGGCTTAGTAGACAGTGGTGGCCCCAACAATACGTTAAACATATGCTGTTGCAGATAAATAAACATCCAACAGAACATACCCTGAGGATGTTGCAGGTTTCTAACAATGGTGCATTAGGCTTATTCCTTGACATCGGATCATCCTTAATTTGCATCAGCAATCTTATGTCGTACTTCTTTTCACCAGAACGATTCAATGGAGACCATTGATCTGTAACAAAAGTATTATTATTATTTTCTATCGGGGAGACCTGTGGTAGGCAGGGTGATCAGTCGACAAAAGTATTAATAAAGTTATTTCATTACTGTCAGAAGAGGACAATCAAACATGGAGTTTACTTGATAGAAGATCAAACACCTCAGCCATATAACATTTTAACATTTTTAGGCTAGCTGGTCAACTGTTTTAGCTTTAGACATTCAAAAATCTAGACTGCTATCAAAGTGGTGGTAAACTTCATGATTTTTTATCTGTGGACAGAAGTTAATGCTCACTGATATAATGTCCAGTTTTTCCAACAACTGTTTGTTTAAGATGTATTTATGCAAGAACTAAATTTTATTTAACACAGTGATTTTTACCACAATTATTGTCTAAATATCAATTACATATTATTACGTATAAATATAAATCTTATTGAAACTAGTCCTTTATATAGTATAAGTTGTATAAATTGAAGTTAAGTAATTGTAACGGAATAGTTTCTTTAACTCATTCTAAGAAATTTGCAATGGCTCCAAAATTTATTCAGCAGCAGTGTTTTAGACACACAGACAGAACTGCAAATATAATATAGACTTACCATCACTATACTTATGTTTAGGAACAAATACAGGTGCAGCTTCCTCTTTGGGGGTCAGAGGCTGTTCTGAATCGATTTCCTTGCTATCTGATGCACACGTTCTATCAGTCTCATCTTTACCATTTTCATATGTCTCCATTGCGTTGGATTCGACGCTTTTAGGCAGCTCAGTGCTGGCATTCTTGTTCTTTTTATTTTTTACATTCTTCATTGACTTTTCATTCTTGTTCATGTCCTCCTTAACATTATCTACTTTACTTACATTACCATTATCAGTGTCCGAATCTAAAAGTATTAATGTAAAATTTTAGCAATACAATTGTGTTAGTCTTCATAGATTTCAATTATTTAAATTTAGGTTATCCTACATTATTATGAGATAGAGATTTGGCTCTTCCCTTTAAAGAATTATAGTATGTAGGTTTTAATTATTTATTATATATATATATAAGGCTATGCATGTAACTAATGGTATTTTAAGGCACAACAGACATGTATATTAAGAACCGAGATAGCTAAAGTTACTTCAAATCTGTGATATACATATACATAAGTATGATATGTAGATGTTTGTTTCTACTATAACAACAAAGAAAATTAAATTTATATATTTCATACAAAAAAGATACTGAATGCAACACAGGGACACATGAAATACTTCCCACACAAGTCTAATCCTTTTTTATTTTAACGGGTGAATTTTTAGTTTAGTAAGTTTTATTTAATTATTTTTTTTTTTATAATAATGTATTGAGTTAAATTTCTTCCCTTTATATAGATTGCTTTGGATATGTGCATTTCTAAAACCAATTATAAGCTTTTCACCCACTTGAGGAGTACCATTTTATTAATTAGCTTTTACTAATTAATAAAATGAGGAGGAGGCATAGTGTGGCAAAAACTAAAGAGTCTAAATGACTTAATAAAAGTAACCTTTTGTGCCCTGCTCAACTAAAACATGTATCCTTGAGATTTGATTTGTGCAATTCTAGGCAACATGATAAATCTAAGGTTAAAGCAGCTAATGCTTAGGATTCAATTCATTGGATTTAGGTTATTTCATCATAGTTATCCTGTATTGTTATTTGCTTCCAATGATCAGTGATCAGTCTTTCATTAAAAAAGACTGGATTTTTCCTGAGGACACATTTACATACCTTGCATAGTATTGTTCAGGTTAATATCTTTCATCTTCGAATCAGGATTATTGCGAGCTGCACTGACTATGCTTTGTGTAAGTTTCGCCTGAGCTTGACTTGCACTTTTCTCCTCCTCTGTAAGGTCAGGTATTGTTGCTTCTTGTTCCTTGGCAACTTTCTCAATGCTAGATAATAACTGAGTGGCAGTAGGAGCTTGTTTATCGGGGAATGTTGTCTCACTATTAACTACGGGTTCAGTTTCAACACTGACTTGGGGTTCAGTCTCTATTGTTGCTTCTTTAAAAACTGTTTCTTTAACAGCTATGTCAATTTCACTAATTTGGCTATGTGTTTCTATTTCAGGCTGACTTTCTATTGAGCTTATTACTGAAAGAAAATATAAGTCTTACATACAATAGATCATAAGCAAAAATATACATCAACTAAATACATATTCTTAAACAAAGGGATATTGATGAGGAACCAGAAATATACAATATTGTAACACATTAACAACTTAACTTGGACAAATTATGTAAGACTACAGTAGAATTGGTATGACATTTAAATGCAAAATCTCAATATCAACACTGAAGGTTGGCTTGTGGTAATTTTAATTCCATTGAATACATTTCGCGAATGCGTTGGCGAAATGTATTCAACGAAAACACCACTTAGAAAACGACATACGCTCAGCTTTACTGCTAAAAATTATTGCACAAATCGCGATATATGTTAATTAGCACTTTCGTAACTACAACTATCTTAATATTGATTGGTCAACTAGTTCAAAGCTGATCTAGAATATTACGACGTACGGGTAACGATGAAATAAAACGACGGCGGCCAGAAATATCCCGAATAGGCAGCGAGCAAATCTGTGCGATTTTACGCCGTCGAAAAATGACCAACGCGAACCTTATTAACATAAAAGGCCCACGTCTTGCACGGCCAAGTGACTGTGTTCCTAGGAAATCTATCGCTTATTCCAAACTAAGTTCCGAGTTTATTAATAGCGACGTGCAGTATTTCCACGTGGGTGTCTTCAATTTTATCTCACTATACCAACCTGAATGTTATATCCGATTTTGTGGCACTTTTCACTAAATGACTGTCAGTTTGCTATAGTTAAACTAAATACATTCACCCGACGTATAGAATAATGTAACACATCAATATGGTAAAGGAAAGTAAAGGTCAAAAGAATATTACTATGTAAAAATTTTACGTTACACTTAAAACAAACTTAAACTAAATAAAATTGTATAAATTCAAATTATAAAATAATTATTATAATATTAAATTTGTAAAATTGTAAAATTAATTCATCATTGTCAAACGAAGTCTTGAGGCGACTAAGTAAAAGTCGCCATGTTGAAACGATTTATTCCATGCGGACAGATGACCTCACATATACACAGACTACAATCCCAAAGTGTTGTGCGCATGTGCAAGAATAATCGATCGCGCCCTACCAGGTATCGTTCAGTTCTGTTACATTTTAATGTTGGTATTAATGTCTTCTTAAGAATTAGCAAAAACGACGCATTACCTACCCAAAAAGATAAACGAATATTCTGCAACAATATACAAAAAAAAACGGATACGTTAAGAATCGAAACAATATTCTAGAATCGATCGCTTTTGTAAAATCGGTATCGATCCCAGTGTTACTTTTGACGTATCGAACTTGTCGCTTTGACAGAACGTCAAAGTTCAAGGTCATATTGTCAAACGTCATTTATACTTTGTATTGCGTAGGGAATTTGAAATTATTCTGTAGTATTTCGTTTTTAATGCTGCAATTTATCTAAAAGTAATTTTCCTTTGATATTATAAAGTAACATTAGGATGTGAATAAAAACCTACTATATGTTAGTAGTATATATATCTAAAGGCCCTAGGGGTATAAGCATGGTGAATTTGCCCCCGAAAGGTATCGGCTTGATACTGCGGGGATTTTTAGGTACTAATAAGATATTAAGATTCTGAGAGTTTCAGCTTTTGAAACCAATCGGTCTTCGAGAAAAAGCCAAATATGTAAAAAGCAGTATCAAGCCGATACCTTTCGGGGGCAAATTAACCACGCTTATACCCCTAGGGCCTTTACCCTAACAATATTTTAAAAGCAAATCGCTTATTACGACATAAATCGTATACCTAGCTTTTAGCTTTGATTCATAGTTTATTACAGGTTTCGTGCCAAAATTCGTAGATTTGACATCGAAGGGTGCGTTAATTTAGACATTTGCACAAAGGGGTTGCTACAGATTATATTTTTACACCTACATTTTGGCCGAATTTAAAATACCACATGGAAGTTTATTTAACTATTGCAATTACATTGTATACGCGTTGTAACTTATATTTAAGTCTATTTTGTGAAGCGACTCTTAAAAACTCGTTTATAAGGAAGGTTTTAGGGATTATCAAGAAATCAATCAACCTACACCTGTGATTTTAATATATCCCGAGATATCTAGAAAGAGTTAATTATTTATAATTATATTTATTATTAATTTTAACTCTGTATTGTGAAAAATACTTGGTGACATGGTAATGAATACTCTAACGAATATTGTCGAAGGTCAATTGAATGTGAAAAGAATATTATATAATGGCCATCGACTAAACTTGAATAAGTCCAGAACAAACTTTTCGTATGAGATTATAAATTGTAAGAAGTAATAAGAATGGATCAACAACTACAACAAGAACACTTTACAAAAAATACGAGTTAAACGTGAGATAATCAAATGACACGTGTGACGTATAATTCTCTTACCAAATTTGCTTAGTCGTTCTTGGATGGTGGTTTATATTCGCTTTATGACGTCATCTGATACGTAAAAATAGATGTCTTTGTAGTCGCGGCGGCTTATATAATTACTTTTTCCGTGCTACATACGTTTTTATGACAACGATGTAAATTGCGATAAAATACATACTTTAGAAGAAGGAGGTGTACACAGGTAGAAAGGACTTGTGTAATCATTGTTTGAAGGTCACACTAGATTAAACCTAGACTTACCTCACCTATTATAAAACTGATAACGTTATAAAAGAGTGTGAGAATGGGCATCGGTGAAGTAGTTTGCACCACTGCATCAAGACGAGTGTACTTACGAGCAGTTTCGGGCCCATTCGGCTTCGGCTCCTCCTGGGCCGGCTTCTCTTTGTCCTCGTGGGGCTTCGCCCTTTCGCGGGGCTCCCGGATCCGCTGCGGCTGCGGCGGCAGCGTCGCCACCGTCTCCGCTTGGCTCAACTCAGATTGCTTATCCGTTTCATTCTGAGGCACGTGTGGTTTCTTCGCTTTCGGATTCTTATCAACTATCGGGCTCTCGACTCCCTTTTGGAGCTTATTACTCGTTAATTTAGGCACTATCACAGGACTGTCCGATATCGCCGAGACGATCGGCGGGTCTGTCTCGGCGTCGGTCCCTATTTGCTTACTATCAATAATTTCAGACTTTACTATTTCATTATTATTATTAGAGTTTATTGCGTTTGCTTGAGGTTGCGATGCGCCGGCCGTCGCGGCAGGCACTTCGTTACATTTAGGTACATAATTCGTTTTGCCCGTTTCGCAGCTGGTCGCCTGGTTGGCCGCCTCGCTCACCAGGCGTGTGAACTCCTCGACTATGCTCGCTGAGTTGTCCTGCTGTCATACGTTAGCAATAAAAATACAAAGAGTCACAAGGACGTCCTCTGACTCTACGCTCATGATAAGCCGTAATAAGTGAAGCAGTTCCCACGATCCCCTTACAGTTATTTCGCTGTAAAATACATGCGATAGGTATTTAGAAAAAAACATATTGGATTGTATTAATTAACCGCATCACTAACATTTCTAGTACTTTATCAACAAATGACTCATTATTTTTGTATTTAGTATTCTCTGAATGTGACAATACCTACAGCATTATATTATACAACGAAAGTACTATAGTTAGCGTGTTCTATTACTCAAAAGAACATGACTCTCAATATATTTGCTTATTCATGAAAATACTAACAATCAAACGGGCTGTAATCAAATTACAGTGGTTTACAGTTCTAAATAACATTTTTGTTTATACATTCGGCATTGCTTGAACATCTTTAGAACATTATATTACATAATATAAAATCCCCAGAGTAGTGAAGGACTATCGATAAATAAGTCTAAATGTTATGTAAAACAGAGCTTTCACTGTTTTTATTTGTATTGACATTCATATGTATGTATGTAGATAACTGTATCTACATGCATAAATAACTTATGATTTGATTTTAAATGATATTACTATAGTACAATTTTCTACAAAAGTGAATAATATTATTCTGTATAAAATTATAATAAATAACATTTGGGGAAGATTTAGCATTAAAAATTCAAAGTCGAGAGAATATTCAATAATATTATAAATACATAACATTATATTAAATATTGTCTGTGGTTTACGCGAGTAGTACAAATTAAAATAAGACACTTCAATGGTTTAAAACGCGATATTTATTAGTTAAACTTATTTGAAAATTATTTTTACTACAACCCGACGATCCGTTTTGGATGCTTAGTCTCCCCGTGACAATGGGTGCTACAAATCATCCAAAACGTCGTATTTAAAATCATTTTCAAATAAGTTTAACTAATGTGTATCGCGTTTTACACCCTTAAAGTGTTTTATTTAAATGAATTTTTTAAATACTATTAATAATGCTTTTATCGTAACATGTATAAATAATTATAACTCAATTTAATCTACGGGAAATCTACGGGAAGCAGCATGGTGGTTCTTGAGTTCTTCCAACCCAGTATTCAAAATTAATATTTTAGTAGAGCATGGCTACCACAATTGTGTAATCAATTTATTGAAATTAATTCAACTACTTACCGCTTGTGGCGTTTGCCTTTCACTAGATTCCGCACTAATATATTGACTATCATTCGCAAATATATCTTCTAATACTACATCTAGTTCTGTGAACAATATAAAGAGCGTGAGTTACACGAACACTCGTTATGTGCTTTGATACTTTGATCCTTCCGTTTGGCAAAAAACAACAACAAACGGACAACGTTACATAACAATACACAATAGTTACTGTCTCGAAATACGCCTTATAATTTTATGAATGCCTTAATTATATTAAGTTTGCAGGTTAATTTAAAAAGATTACTTTATGTAACACAAATATACTCAAAATTGTTATAATCAAATTTGATAATAACTTCACAAGTGAAGAACAACCAATGACACTCATCCCAACTTTTATATAAAAAGAAGCTTTTTGGGAAAAACTGGACATGAGTAAAACTCTTTTTTATTTAAATGTCTCTTTCTCTTTTTATCAGAAGACAAAACTCCTCTGGTTTCAGAACAGAGTTTCATTGAGCTATCCTAATGTCCGACAAAAGAAAATAAATCTGAGACAAAATGAAATCGGAGAACAGTCCACAGATTATATATTTTTGTATTCTTAAAAAAAAATTACGAAGGCGGCTATAATTCTGTATGTATGTTTGTACTTACGGGTGACTGGATCGACAATGCGGACTCTGTGTGACATGCGCTTCGCCGGGCCTTGACGTACACCTGCAACAATGTAATTTGTACGCTCTCCATCGGATGATACATCTTCGCCCGGTCTTCGGGCTACTACTTAGAAGTTAAAAACACATAAGTAGAATCTTAATATTCATTTATAGCTTTGAGAGCAGAACATATTATACTTAATGAATAGAAATGTCACCAGCCATGTAACATTGAAATCAGATGCTCTGTCGGCTTATTTCGCCTTTAGACATTCGGAAGTCCACAGATTAAAATCAAAACGTGTAATAAGCTTTTTATGTGACCCAGGCAGAATGTCGATATTCCAACCACTCATTTTAAATACTTCCAAGATGGGGCCTTTATGTTGAATAACAATAATAACCTAGATTTAAAAAAACATTTTTAAAGTGGATTCGACACTACCCGTTGGTTGCAAGTCATTTAAATATCGATTATTACCAACGTACCGGATATAGTCATGTGTGGCTGCGGTTGCGGCTGATGTTGCGCCGCCGGCTGTGGCACCAGGGGCCCCTGAGTCGTACGGGCCCCATTTGCCGCTACCGCCTGTCCGTTATAGAAGTCTGGCGGGTAAGTCACTGGATTAAAATAACAAGATCCATTAGAATGTCTCCACACGCAAATAACAATGATGGGGAGCCACTGTCACCTATAACAGATGTTAAAGGTAAACGCGCTGTAACTACACTTAACGAATACGTGAAAGTAAAAGAATTTATAAGAATACCGCGCCATGAAAATTAAAGCTTAAAACGGATGTTTAACATAAGTAAGTTTAATTTAATTACATATATATACATAGATTATATTTAAAAAAACTACCTATATTTGCGTAGAATAGTTACTTTGGGCATCTTAAAATATAGACATATAATCTTGGGAACATTTTTGATAGGTGTAGCCACTGGGCTGGCTACACCTATCAAATTAATGATAGGTGTCAACTTAGTTGCATGTTATACAACTAACTATATAAAGGGTCGAAATGATTTGACATAAGCCATGTAAAACAAGAAATTAGAATTAGAAACAGTTATGAGATCTCTCTTCGACGTATTCAATAATGCTGCAAAAATCCACGCAATTAAATTCGTGGGTAGCTAGTTCATACTAGGTTTTAACTTACTTAAATTAAGTGACAGGGGCTCTATCGTCAACATTGCGCCCTTTTATGAAAAGAAAAAGGGGGCAAACAGACAAGATATAAATAGCAAAACTCACACGGCGAGGAATGGCCTGGATTTGTGTTGGTATACACGTAGGGCATATACGGATAGAATCTGCAAGAGAAATTTAAAAATTTACAAGTTGTGACCCACTTCACATCCCGATATTGAAAAAGGCGGAACGCCCGTCCATTCGTCATCAAATATTTAACGGTTCCAAGTATTGGGTACCAGGTTATACACCTGGTACCACATATTCGACTCCATATCTCACCCAGGTGTCGTCGAGCGGGGCTGATAGCTCTGGGGGATCTGCATGTGGGCAGTTTGAAATAGCAGCGTCGGGTGGTACATAACAGGCCCGCCGGCTGTGGCGCCCGCTGCCGGAATGTACGGCTGTTGTTGCCTGGAAAGAGAGCGCCATATTTTATTATCACTTCATCCTGAAGAATTTTGTGTAATATAGGATAACTTTTATACAATTAAAGAAAGTCCTACCGGCTACTTAGGCTACTTTGGCTACTTTTGCAGTATATTGCATTACATCCGAAATATTGCGCATAGTTAAAATAAATTTAAACAAAGTTAACTTATATATGTTGCGTTGGTTTATCCATTTTGTTTGTGTGAAAATATTATAAACCCACCCTGGACGAGTCATGTGCCTGTTCAGCATGTCAGTGGAAGAAATACATCAAAATAGAATACCTGGCGTGCGATGCTGGTCTCGTTGTATGCTGCGCGGCTCTATACTGGAAGTTGGGATATTGAGGGCGAGCGGATTGTGTCGCGTTAGGCGGCGATACGTAATTATGAGCACCCTGCAAGTTCCATTAATCCTAGTTAATACATGGCTGAGTTTACTAAGATAGGTGTGTTAGTTAGCCTGTTGCCTCACCATGTTGTTTTTCGGCATCTCTGGTTGGGGCGGCGCAGAGGGCTGTGGCGTGCTCTGAGCTCTCATTCCCTGGATCGGAGCCCCCGTGGACCCGCTCGGCATGTACGCGGGACCCGCCCCGCCAGCCGGATGGTAGCATTCTGCCCCCGCGCCTGGGATGGGCACTGCATCATTCGAAAGATCTTTATTACACAATAACTAACTTACAATATGGCAATCTGTAAATTGATGAAACAAAATGTATGATAACGGTAAATTCGTAGGTTCCATTTTCTCTATAGTTCGTTGCCAGACCTCGTTTATTTCACAATCTTGATATTACAAGAATACAGGTTTAGAATCTGTTCCTGCTAAAAGGCATCCGAAATGACGGGTCGTCGTTAAAAATAGTTTTGCGTTTTAAACCGTTGAATGTTTTGATGAATATATACCAATCTAGACTAGTCATTCTTCAGTTTTAAAACATCTATACACTGAAAGGTAGATATACATAAGAGAAAATGATAACATGGGTGGCTATTGAATCTACGACCAAAAGCGTACCGTACCGTCTGTGTTATGAAATCAACTTTACATATGCTTCCATTCCGATGACTGAGCCAGCAAATCGTCTAATCTAATGCTTTAAGAATTGACTGTAATTTACGCGCGTAGTAGGTATACATTCAATTAAAAATTAACAATTAAGGTTATAAAAAAAAATAAAAATCTTCCTTAAGTACGACCCAATGATTTGAAAGCTTTCGGCACGGTAGCTCAAATAAGTCCACCCTAATAATTTCCGTTCAAACTATTTTTTTCAATACTAAGTTCTCGTGGCATTTACAGGGTAACAAAGTTCAAGGATTGGTACAGAAGACCTATATGCAACAGCAACGTAGACAAAAGCCAGGAAAAAGAAACCAACGCGTTGTTAAAATTAATTTGATATACCTATTCCGTTTAAAAGATATAAACAAAAAAGTGCTTACGTTGTATGTATTTCATATCACACTATTAATTAACTAATTCAGCATTTGTTACCTTTTGCAACATAATTCGAAGAGAACATTGCTAAAAACCTATTTTAAATATTCTCCTCTGTTATGAGGCTTTCTTTATCCATCATAGCGCCCAAGCCACTGAACAGCGGTTTATGTATTTTGTAAAAAATATATAACACATGACGAAATCTAATCATTAAACTAATAACTGTTTTGTATAAATTCTTATTATAACGTAGTCTGAATAGTTTCTGGAATTTCTTAGTGCCATTCTTAATCCATACAGTTCGATACCGTCTGTAGTTTACGCGAGTTATCGCGTTTTAAACCGTTAAAGTGTTTTATTTAAATCCATACAGTTCGATTATTGGTCAGACTATTAAACAAAATTGCTTAAAGAAAATATACATTTCACATTTTTCTCGAATCAGCACTCGGTATTTTTTTATAAATACAGTTTTGTACGCCCGACTACGTAATAAATTACTGGCACACGCCAATCATTTTAAACATATATGTACTTATACAACACGATATATATTTAGTAGTTGCCAGGACATTTGAAACACAAAACCATTCGATAAACGCAATGAGATATGTAATTAAATTTCGTCATATACCTAACACCAATTTATAGGCGCGACCCGTGCATTGCTGACCATTCAACATGTTTCCGCTGCAGAGGATTCAGACTATCGAACTCAGGTAATTTATCATAAATCTATTGAAACTTAATTAAAATGCAACCAGTGGATTAGGCTCTACAATGTACAAATCACATCAAATTCATAACAGCTCTGGCTCTTCTAAAGCCGTTACGCAAACCTATGCTTCTGTACGCTAAAACCATTATCCGTGTACTGTTATCAACCGTATCAGTTGATAACAGTACACGTTACTGAATTGAACAGAACATGTGAAATCTGCCAGTCCGAAAATTGGAGGGTTGAGTGCTGTAAAAAAATGTTGAACTCACTGTGTGGTGTTGAGGCCCGCGGATAACTGTACGGCTGTTAAGGAAATAAATGATAACATATGCACAACATTAGGCGGTAAAAAAATACCTATTTGCCTTATCGATAAAGCTACGATGCATTGCCACACGTGTCAAATGCAGTGATTGTGTGGTTATTACTTCAAGTATATACGATAGAGGCGAGATTTAAGACGTCTCCAAGTGGTGAATTACCAAAGTTCCCACAAGTAGGATATATATAGTAGAACATGTCATGCACGACTTTAGTTATAATGGTCATTCGAATTCGCTTTTGCAACTTAACGCATTCACAAGCAAACAAAACACTAAACGTTTTATAATTAAAGAAATGCAACGTCGAGGCCGAGTTCTGATTTAAGAAAATGAAACGAACCGATTGTTAAAAATCTGGGTTTCTATTAGTAGTTACCTTACAATTAACATTCACTTGGTCATATGCAAAAGGCTTAAGACATTTTTAGCTGCGCATGTTTTCTTCCATCAGATATCGACTAATTACACCTAGAAACTTTCTTATAGCCACACCGTCTTCACTTACTAGATTGTGAAGGAACCCGATACTGAGACGGCCGAGAGGCGTTCGAATGTCGCGGCGACTTCTGAACGTACTGCATCTTGTGCCCACCCATCTGGTTATGGTGATGCATCGGCTGCATGTTGGCATGACTGAAACCCGCGCTCGTATGCCCGTTGACGCTATGACCGCTGCCCTGCCCGTAGCCGGAGTGGAAGTTACCATGATTGACGTTCACGCTCTTCTGATTGTGGTGCTCGTGGTGATTGGCATGCACGGGCTGGTTCACGTGGCTCATGTGGTTGGAGTGGTTCATGAGGTTGGGCATATGCCCGGCGTGGTTCTGGTGGTGGCGGTGGCTCACGTTCGGCGGTACCGCGTGCGGCATGCTCAGGTTCTGCGAGACCTCGATCGTCGGCTGCCGGCTGACGAAGCCGCAGCCGCGCGGCACGTTCCCGAGCGTACTATTACCCCCTCTTATCGCTACCATCTTGAGTTCATGATACAGATTCTTGAGAAATTGCGCGAGCCAAACGTTGAACCATTCCCAGAAGAGTGGCGACACAACCATCTGCTCAGCGTAATGTCCTTATCTAATACTCGACTCTACATTATTGCTCATCGTTGCGTTGTAATGTAATATAAAAATCTAGCGTTTCTAACTCTATATAACTATACTAATTGAAAGGCGAGCGAAAGACGCATGGTGCCGACGTATTTGAGGACCGCATTCACAATTTAAAGACTAATATAATGCAGCAAAGGAGAAAATCGATAAAGAGACGGCGCGCCGCTCGGGTCGCCGTTCGCGCGTATAAAATACTGTCACCCGCGAATTCACAGAAGCGATAAGCCACAACGATCACTTGCACGCGGCGTAGAAAAGTGCGAATTCGTTTATGTAAAAAAGAACGCGTAATAACATCGATAACAATTAGAAAATATAGAAAAATTCGTTCGGAGCAGTGCTCGCGCTGGCACGTTTCATTGTATGAGCGGGGGTTGCGAGCGTCAGAGGGAGACGGGGCGATGTCGACGCCTTTGGGGGCGGACGCTTCGCCCCTGACGCGGGTCGCGGGAAATTTTCATTGGGAAATACATTGCGCGCGTAACGAGGCCGGCTGAACTCCGTCGGCAGACGCCGTCGGCAATGGTTTCGCGTAATTAACGAATATCGCTATCGAACGTCCGAATTGCCAAGGTTATATTATAAACTGCACGGGGTAGTGATTTTACTTCCCTGTTTGTAGTACGCCGCTGCAAGTTGCCCTATCGAAAATTCGTTAAGCGCGCCTCAAAGCTCTATTGTCTATAGGCAAAAGCTTGCGTTACGAGTTTTTTTGGAAAGGCTGGCATTTTTATCAAATAGTTTTAAACTTAAATGTCTAAGGTCGCAAAACACTTCTAAAATAATTTTGGTTATTAAATATTATAAAACTATACAACCATAATTTAATGTTGTTATTTTGGCTGCTTTATCTCAATGACCAAATAAATGCTAGTCGACCTCTGGCACTAAAGTTTTCTGATTGTTGACTAAAGTAAAACTAGATAATTTATTTCTTGAAAAAGTAACATAAAAAGGTAGCGTAGATTTTTTTTTTTTCAGAACAGATATTTTAGTTGTCTTTTTTTTAATTTTATACGTTTGTAATACGAAGTCGTGACTTTAGTTAATTCCTTTAAGAAAATAAGCTATTATATATTCTAAACGACCGGCAGAACGTTCAACTAAAATATCTCTACCATCTAGTTTATTTTTTAAGAAGACTGAGGGGTTTAGTTGAAAAAGCAATAATTTGATTAAGGCCTTTAGTAATCTAGAGGCAATCGTAAATTATTCCTTCAGTTCCATCTACGGAAGTGGTTCGCGTAACGGACGGAATTTAGATAATCCTACGTCCTTCCATCGTAAAATAACTAAACATTTTTTTACTGTGTCGTAATAGATATTTAACGTTCGTAGATATATTTAAAAGATAGCAAGGAGATTTTCTTCGAAATAGGAATCGTAGAAACTGACATAAGAAGTTGACTTCTAGCCGTGTCGTACTTAATTATGAAGGTTGAATGAATCCTGAGCTGTTTACCTCAGCGATACCATACAATTGGAAGGTCAACTAAAATCGATGTATAACAAAAGCAGTTCACACTATAAGTTGGGGACTATTGGCAGCTCTTTATTACCTAGAGATGAGTCTAGCGAATAATTTAAAGCTTTCTCGAAAAAGCGTTTTGGAGTTGAAGGTTTCCAAAACGGTTAATTTTTTTAATTATGTAAAATCTTAAAAGCCCCATACTGTATAGATGTGCCTTCCTGACCCTACGGTATTCAACGTACTATCCCCAGTAGAGAAAGGACAGTAGTCGTTTATAAAAATTGACAAAACTAACAATATTATAAAGAGTAGATTATAGAGTAAATTGATTCACTTCATAAATATTTTTAATCTGTCTGTTTACATTTGATACATTAACAATACAATTGCCCAGTTAGCAAACTACTTCATAAACACGCATTGTTTTGTTTTACTCTAAATTAGCTGGCACTCGCGACGTCACTCGTGTTTTATCAGAAAGATTAAGAGACGATAGAACTCTCCTTCACATTTGTATGACTCTATAAATATTAAAGGAAATAGTAGCTTTGGTTAATTTTGTTTGGCTAGTTTTATGTAATTTTTACAGTCAACTTGTATATTTTCTAATGAAAATAAATAACTTCCTAAAAGGGTACAAGTCACCAGTCTGTATCCCAAATTGCGGCGCTTGCTAGAGTGATGATATTTTTAATATTATTAACGCAACCCATCGTGCGCGAGTCTAACTCGCACTTGGCCGAGTTAAATAATTTTGTATTTAAGTATACTTAGTAAAAAACTTTCAAGTTAAAACTACACACACGGTCACTTCATTTTTATTTATCATTATAACCGTGACCTTGAGCGCTTAAAAATAAATAATAATTTACACGCGCCATGTTTGCTATTCACGAGTGGTGCCCGCTCGCTACTTTCTACGTGAGAAATTAGATTTTTTATTTATTTAATAATTATTCTTATTACGCTTGAATGCGTTATGAGGAACATCTTTACAGTGAAGACTAACAATAAAATTATTTAATTATTCTATTAGAGGAATTTATTAACGCAAGAATTAACGGACGTTCGGATTAGCTTTGTAAAATAATTAATAAAAAGCATTAGACGATTTTGATTAAAATAAATCGCGTTTTATTATATGTATACATTTTTTGATAAAGTAAAAGTCCTCAGACACTTACAAGAACCGCTCATACCACTAACCATAGAAAAAAATAATATCTAAGCTGTTAACCTTACCAATATCCATGCTGCATTCAGCAAAGATGGTGTAATACACAAATTGTAAAGAAAAAGACAAGAGCAACACGAAAATTAACAAAATTTAAACTCATTCTGACAACTGTTGCATTACCACTAACAAGAAGCCAATTGCAGGCTGTGAGAAACATGTTGATATGAAAAACCATCACTTATAATTAAATTTACCTGCAAACCAAAATAGTCCCTTAGTTAGAGAATTAAACAGCTTAAATTTTGACTACAGATCTCAGATCCACTCTTTTTACGGAGTAAATGGTAGTAAGTAGTGACTTGTATATTATACCAATTAGGTATGTAGGTAAGTAGACAACTGGTAGTAGTTAGTAATTGGTATATACTTAAGACTATGTTACGCCAATGCAAACTACAGTAACAAAAGTACAGATCTAAAATTTACCCTAATGTTTATTACTAATAAAAGCTTCTACTTTATATTTCCAGTGACATAAGAGATATATTTTTTTTATTATAGCAACTTACCAATAAAATGATATTCAGATTCAAAAATGAAATAAAGAAAAATTACTTTACAAAATAAGTTGACAAAAAAACAGAATCTGAGAAGAGGAAATACCAGGGAACAACACATTAATTAACCATGTTCTGTATGATTGTTAATACGATTACTTATCTCTAGAATTCTAACAATCGTTAAGCACATTTACTTAAGTGAAAATTCCATTCGCTTGCTAATGTTACTGTCGCTTTGCAGTGAAATTTCATAAATAAATACTTAAGACAAATATAAGGAATGTATCTTATCCTAATAAATATTATTGCTTGTACCTTCTATTATTTCTTTAAAAAACTTAGTATGAAAATATGTAGAGTTTCAACAAAGTATGATGTCAACAAAAAAATATTTTCTACAATAAAAACAATGCTTTGGTATAAAATATAGGAAAGTAAGCTCTACATAAGTTTGAAAATTGAGCTCAAGATATTACCAACAACCAGTAAACAAATTTTGCCAATGTGAACCTCTGCATATCATCCCCTCTAAAAAGAAGCAACATACTTAAATCTATGTAGAGATTAAATTTACAAGTTCTACTTACAGACAGCTTCATGAGCTTTTCTGCTTGAGAGGGTCGAACTTTGCTTAGACCTAGTATAACCACACAATCACTGTTCGCAAACGCTTTACCTGATGTAGAACAGTAAACACTAGCCACTTGTGTTACTGCTCTACATTACGTAAATCATTAGAATATAGAAAAGGATACGGTCCGGGTCCACGTTGAGGCGCTAGCGGCACTTGGTTGCCGTTTCCACTCATATCCTCGGCAGCATAGGTCTTACAACACGTAAACCACACTAGGTGGCACGCTATATAGCTCTAAATAATTCTAGGACACATCCGGCAATACGATGTCACTGTGACAGCTTGCACGTTTTAATAAAGAGACTTCATCAGCAAGGTTTGCAGCAAAAACATCTTCCACCACACACAGCGGCACGATATATATATTATCTTCGCTTTTAAATATAATATAGCATCACTAATCAACGACCAACTACCAGTCACTAAACAAACGACTCTACAAAATGGCGGACGATAACCAATAAACAAACGGACTTGTCGCGACTTTATTAATGTTATTATTCGATCACTTAACTGTAGAATTATTGCTGTGGTTTGTTATTATTAAAATAAGAATAAATGTGTAAAAATATGAATCTGCAACAATAAATTATAAGAATATATCCTCTAAAACTTTCATTCGATAGTTCACGTTTCAGTAGCACGTCACGCTGCGCAAGCAGCTCTAAGTTTTTACTTGACAAATGTTTTTGTGTCGTCAAGACTCGTTGGAACTGAGAAAGCACACGCCACAGAAGCGGCAATAAAAGTAGAGTCTATATGAACCACTTCACACGTCACGTATACACGTAGTCTATACGAACAACTAATTCGATTTGCATAAGTGAATGTTACAACTAATTAAAACTTAATTAACTAATATATTTATTAATTAGAAATTTAAGTAAATATTATTATTATTTCTACTCGCGTCCCGAGTATTACTCTATTGAAGTGCAGAGTGTTACATGATTTTAAAGAAGTAAAAATTTAGAGCTTCTTTGAAGTTGAATTTTCCTTTTTTTTTAATTTTTCCGATCCGTTACGTTATAAATACTTCCACTCTAAGTTATGGGGATTGGGGACCATTTCTCCGTGAAGAGCTAGTACAACACATTCACATGCGTGCATAAGTTTACTACTCTACAGAAGAACAAAAGTGGAGCTCGTATGTTGCTAGAATCATAGTAGAAAATATTTTTATATATTCAAATAGTATAACATAGTTTTCGCAAGTTTCAGCAACTATTAACTTGTGATTGTTTCTTATACTTGTAAAAAATAATGATTTTAAAACTATTTGATTTTTTAAGACTAGGATTTATTAGAAGCAATTTTTTAATTATAAAAATCGTTGTCGTGTTACTATTTCGTAAACAGTGCGTACGTTAATTTTTAATCTGTGACGTATTGTACAAAAGATTTGTTTAAAATTTTAAAAAAGTGTACTTGTTTGTATTTCTTTCTTTCTTTTTGTAGAAAAAGAGTGGGGGGCGATGGCGCAACAAAATAATTTGAAAAGTATTTTAATATATTTTTTTATACACACTGGCAAATATATTTCAAAGCTAAAAATATCAAAGATATAACTTTTATGTCCATTTATTCTTGAAATACATTTTTGGTAAACAACATACGATGTTCATGAGATCGTGATTTTCTCACTAGGTTTACATTGATTTACACTAAAAACAATTAGTGACAGGACAATGAGACACAGGATTATATAATTAACAAACCTCAAATTCACTTAGTAAAAACTACAATTTCATGCTAAAACTAATAAAAATCCCATAAATGTGTTTACGACAATACACAGATTAAAATTTCTTAAGTTTGACATTTACGTAAGGACGCGACGAAAGCAAAGTTAACGACAATAGAAGCGAGAAATCGATTCGATCGCGATCGCGATTAAATCGTAACTTTTATTAAAAACAAAAATAATAGTAAGAAGGTTTTATTAATTGTTTATTGAGTAATACAACATACACATTATTGAGTAATAAAACATAATACAATAATGAACTAAATACAGATTTAATTGATTTCCTCACTATCATTACTTGATTCCTCGGAGACGTGGATAATAAATTGAAAGTCGTCGGATGCTGCATCCATAATCCTATCTAATTTCATCATTTTATTTTCTTCTTCAATTTCATGTTTTACCGTTTAAAATACCATCAGTAAAGTTACATAAATATATCTATCTATAGTCTATAAAACAAAAAAATTTAATTTTTTCCCCCAAAACCCAAAAAAGGGCTTCCCTTTTTTTGTCCCCCCAAAAAAAACCCCCCCAAAGGCCCGCCCCTTCCCCCCCTTTTCCCCCCCCCCCCCCCCCCTCCCTCCCCCCGGGGGGGGAAATTCCCCCCCCCCCCCCCCCCCCCCCCCCTTTTTTTTTTTTTTTTTTTTTTTTTTTTTTTTTGTTGGGGGGGGGGGTGGGGGGGGCGGGCGGGGGGGGGGGGGGGGGGGGGGGCTGTTTGGGGGTTTGGTGGGTGTTCTTTTTTTTCCTTTTTTTTTTTTTTCCCCCCTCCTTTTTTTTATACTAATATATAAAGCTGAAGAGTTAGTTTGTTTCAACGCGCTAATCTCAGGAACTACTGGTTTATAGATAAAATACACAAAAATCGGGTCAGAGTCGTCCAGGGTTTGAATCGCAAAATAAGGTATTTAAATTTTTTTCAATAAAATATTTAGTATCAGGAGTTATGACGTAATAAGGATAGTGATAGTTTCTAAGTCCATGCCTCAAAGATTACATTGACTCGTCGGTCCCGGTTATCATCAACAAAGTGGACATAGTTGTTACAGCCCTCAACCCGCAATTGAGCCGAGTGAAGGGGGGAACCTTTGTCTGTCATAATGTTTGTCTGATATAGGATCGTAAGGGATAGGTATAGGTCATTAATCAAACGAAAACTTAACAATTTAAGACGCGTCATATTATTTAATATCCCTGCCAATAACTGCTGCAAAGAATCTGAATCATCAGATTCATAAATATATAAAATACAAGTATTAAAGACAACATTAACATATTAAACATTGTCAATTTTTAAATAACAAGTGAAAGAAACACACACTACTCCATGTAAACATAAAACCATTTTTTTTTTGGCAAAACACTTAATACAAATTTGTAAGAGCAACAATATATATTTTCTAGTATGTTATAGTACAATAAGGTATTGTTTAAAGTATGAAGTATTAAAATAACAATATTAAAACACTGAATATTTTTAAATTATCAATTTATTAATAATTTTGATTGTATGTTAGGTTGAATCATATTATATTTGTTGAATTGAAATAAATACATTTTAACCTCAAAGATTTCAATTTTTAAAATTGAATAGAGTAATGATTCTTCAATAAAAATTACACTCAATTAACACTTTTTTCTTAAATTAATTAAAAATTTATGAAGTTTAATTATATACATAACTTTATAAATTAAGCAGCAACCTAAAGGCAAATATACTAAGGGGAATGGAAGACTTTATCATTTCATGTTAATATGAAAACCTATACACAAGCAAAAACATTTTTAATAGGAGTCCCAACAACTATTGTTCAGAATATGGCTCAGGTATACATAGCTCTCATAGTTTCAGGTCATCCAGCTTCAATCAAAGTTGTGGTCGTTCTTTTATCTGGAATTAACTTAAAAAAACAAAAGTATTGCAACAATTTACTAACAAGGTGATGTGACATTATGTTGTCATTACCCGCTCAAGATTCACACAGCTCAATTAATGCTTGTCAATTGTGATTTGGCAAATATGCCATATCAATGGTTTTTTAGGGATATACCAAATATATTACCAAATTTTGATTAGTTGGTGAGTACATGTAACTCCATATAGTCTGTATATTCCTCATACCAAATAATGTGCTACTTAGGAAGCCAAAGATGCTAACTGCTTTTGCAAGACCATTTAACATTCTTAGTGACTGAAAACTGTGTGGTAAGCTTTAGTTTTAAAAACTCCTTAAAATTGGTGGGTACTGATGGCACATTTCTTTTTGTCACCTTCTGAAATTTAGTTTACATTATTTTATTTTGACTTCATTTAATAAATTTCTCCGAAGTAAGTGGGAAATAAATTCTGCACTGCCAAACAATTGTCAAATGAATATTTTGACTTAGCCGAAATACACACACGTAGTCCATAATTGAAATGAATACAATTGAGTTAAGAACTCTATATCGCAATTAGTCTACTGTATATTGTAAATCGAAATTTTAAATGTATATCAAACAAAATCAAAACAATGAAGATAAGCTATACGTATACATAAAACATATACATCCACAAACTGTCAAACGCGATTCATGGCATGTGTCCCTACTTTCCACAGACTTTAAAAATATTTGCAGTAAATAAAGAACTATGGTATATTTTTTCTTACTTGGCATTTTTGGTAAACACACGCAGTTTACATTTGATCGTAATTTCCTTACAAGGTTTACATTGATTTACTTTCAGACACTGGATTATATTTATAAACTAATTAATTACCACAAATTCATTAAAAAGCATATAGCATATATATAATAAATACTAAAAAATAAAAAATTAAATGTTTATGTAAAATTAAGTTGTTTTTTTTTGTTTGACATTTACATAAGGATGGGACGTACACAAAGTCAGCGCAAAAAGAAGGTAGAAGTCCCAATCATGCACGATAACTAAAAAACTTTACAAAAGTCGAGAGAATTAAAAATAAAATAACAAGATAATAAAAAAATAGTCGTTAATACAGTGATTTTCTTTAACCCTATATCATCTGTGACAATGACTACATACTATAAAAGGCATCACTAAATCTCAACGGTTTGATATAATAATAGGCCATATTTTTTGTGGTCTTTTGGCAAATTAAAAAAATACACTATATGTTTAATACGTATTATTTCACATCTGCATTCAAGTTTTTATTTTATTTTAAGGGATCCTTACAATATATCTGTGACAATGTAAATTGTCCAGACGTTAGAGGATTTCTGACAATTCACAATTAGTTTCCGAAATTGGCATTTCGAAGTTTCCTCTTATGTTTACGCAATAAACTATTTATAACTTAATCTTAAGTACAATACTGTTGAAATAACGCAAATACTCGAATACACGAAACAAATTAATCTCTGTGACTGCATTTATGTATATTTAAGTAAGTATTATTAAACATAAAAACTTAAAAAGCTGTTGTTATTGAGTTTGTGTATGGTGTGATTCATTCAAGGTAATTATTGCTAGAAAATGTCTTCGCCACGCCCCAAGTCTCCTCGAACTCCAGTTTTACCCAAAAAGGAGGACAAGGAAGAGTCCTTTTGGGATAAGATTGGAACCATCGGCCGTAAGAAGCGAATAAAGGAAGGTATGTTCCGTGACCTCAATTCATGTGGGTAGATATAAGTACCAATAAGATGTTGGCGTGTTATGGAGTATTTGCTATATATCAGTTGATACCAAAGTATTTCCTCATTAAGATGATCAGAAATTGTAGATGTTCTAAAAATTTTATATCCTTAGTCCTACCACCCACCCCCACTTCACTACCTCTTTCTATATCTCTCTACACATAGTCATACATTTTTATACAAAGTTTAGATAAGAAAAAGACGAAAAAGTAAATGAAACTAATGAGAGCAAATATTTAACCTATCTTAGAAATCATAACAGAACATTGTCATTTGAACAGACATCTTTCAATGACGCACATCTTGTTTTACGTGTTCATGGAAATAGACAATATAACAGAAACAATAAACAGAGTTAATATTAAAGAATTAAGGGTAGAACAAATATTAAAATTTGTGTAAAATCAATTGGAATGTTAGAAGGGGTGGCACAGTGTGCCTTGGATTTTTAAATATAATAATGTGACGAAAAGAAACTAACTTTTAAACAAAGAACTGCTTAATATATGCGTTTTTTATTATTTATCAAAATATAAAAAGACTAGTAAAAAGGTGTTTTTTCCCTTTATCTTTAATACATAATTTTTTTGTTTAGTGGCAAAAACATGGGACAAAAATATTGTAATTTTTAGTAAGGTCTTTAAAATATTAAACTTTCACCTTCATTACAATGTGTACTTACCATAAATTTTTGTTTTATTTTGAATAACCCACCTATTGCAAAAAAAAAACCAGTTCAAGAAGTGCAAGCCGAAGGGAAATATGCCATTGATTCTCCAGGAAGCCCGACTGCACCTGAAATTCCACCTGAAGAGTATAGTTTGTGTAAGTGTGAAAGATATTAATACATTTCAAATTCTTAACAACAAACTGTTTTGCCTTGTTATTTCATTTTGTAGTTGTGGGCTATTCTGTTATTTATCTATATAACTACTGGCTGATCTAATCCTTTGATTGGCCTTGTCCTTTGAATTTTATTATGTACTTAATTACAACATTTATTATGAAAAATTGCAGTGGACAATGAAGAGAGAGCAATAATCGAACCACGTTCAGTGGAAGATCCAAGAGTCAAAGAACTTATTCAGGTTTTAATAGACTGGATTAACGACGAATTAGCTGCACAACGTATTATCGTAAAAGACATAAGTGAGGACTTGTATGACGGACAGGTATTGCAAAAATTGTTGGAGAAGTTGACGGAGACAAAGCTTGATGTTCCAGAAGTGACACAGAGTGAAGAAGGACAAAGACAGAAGCTGGCAATTGTACTGCGGGCTGTTAATAGGGTAAGACTCTAAATATTCTATAATAATTCAATAGCAGGTTAAAATGTTGAAGGATAATTAAGAAAACTGTGATTAAATGAATAACTACATGGATACTTTCATACATACTATACAGTATTGTGATAGCTTATGTGTACAGCAGCAGGAACATACTCCTCAGTAAGTATAGTAATGATGCTTTGTCTGCCATTTTGTTAAACCAAGAAAGACTTATGTTTTAAGGCACTTAGCATGAGTTGAATTGTGTATCATTGTAGTTGAATTGTGTATCATTTATTGAATTGCTTTACTGGGAAGATGCAGGTCTGTAATTTATAAAACATGTTTGAATTTATCTGAGAAAATTAGGATGTTAAATGTGTGGTGGTAATATCGAAATTCCACCCAGAGAAGAGTCAAGAAGTGTTACACTAGTTTCAGTGTCATAAGGAGGTGAAAAATATGGGATGCATTAGACATTGTACACATTAGGGTACTGTGTGTCCCATTGAATGCTTTCAAAATAACCAATTTGCGATTTATTACAGGTACTATATGGTACAGCGAAACCGGTGCAAAAGTGGAGTGTGGATTCAATACACTCAAAGAACGTGGTCTCCATTCTCCATTTGTTGGTCGCGCTCGCGCGTCATTTCCGAGCACCGATACGTCTGCCGGAAAATGTCAGTGTTAACGTCGTCGTCGTTAAGAAGGATGCGCCGAATCAGTTATCGCACAGGTATGATCGTATTTTAGGCAAGTAGCAAGAAAAGTTGCCTTACGTTATTGTAAGCCCTAGAGTATAAGGGTACATAGACAAAGCAAGTTTTCATTTAGCCGAGGGATGCTAAACATCATCCAATTATACCATCTACTTCTAGTGGAGCGACCAGACCTTCTAAACCCCTATAGTTCGAAACAATTTATCGTTTTCCACAGGATTGGAACACGGAACCTCAAGTGCAATGCTAGGCACCGTGTTTAAACTACATTTTCATGAGTACTGATATTACTAAATAATTATCTTTGTTCTCTATCATATGTAGGACCTACATCGAAGACATAACGACGACATACGACGACCTCGGCATGAAATGCGAGCGAGACGCGTTCGATGCCCTTTTTGACCACGCTCCGGATAAGCTACAGGTCGTTAAGAAGGTAATAAGTATAGATTTTCTAAAAAAATACTTTCAGTTACCTCCTACTTTACTATACAATTCTGAACTTAGGGACGTCAATTAAAAAAAAACGACACTGACGGGACTGGCATTCACAGCGTTCTGTGCTGCTCTAACCAATTGAGCTACCGTATTAATGTTTACTATGCTAAAATATATAGTTCACCGTTCCCGCATAATACCTACAGTTGGGTTTCAGGCCTATGGGAGTATAGAAGTAAAAACTCAATTATTAACCACCATTAACAGACATAAAATTTCCTAGTTACTACAGTTGTAAATTATGATTTAAAATGTTACGAATGTGGTACAGCTGAAATACTACTTTACTGAAACTACAGTACTACTACCCCTACTACTTACTCAGTACTATACTACTACTAAATACCAGTAGTTCCTGAGATAAGCGCGTTCAAACATACAAACAAACTCTTGAGCTCTATATATTAGTATAGATGTGTTAATAATTTTCAGTCCCTAATAACATTCGTGAACAAACACCTGAGCAAAGTAAACCTCGAAGTGATGGACCTGGACAGCCAGTTCCATGACGGTGTGTTCCTAGTGCTGCTGATGGGTCTACTCGAAGGTTTCTTCGTGCCGCTGTACGACTTCTTCCTTACGCCGCAAGACTTTGACCAGAAGGTCCACAATGTGTCTTTAGCTTTTGAATTGATGCAAGACGTTGGGCTGGCTAAGCCTAAAGCAAGACCCGAAGGTAAATATTAATAAATACATTTTTGCAGTCGACTTATATATTTCGTATTTTAAACTGTTAAAAGTGATTTATACAAATTGCTCCTACAATAAAATATTATTCTGTTTGCAGATATCGTGAACTTGGATCTGAAATCGACACTGCGAGTGTTGTACAATCTCTTCACTAAATATAAAAACATCGCTTAATTTAAAATTAAGTTGATATTAAGTTAACGTAGGCCAGAGTTCTGATTCGCCACAAGTAACAGACTAATGACTACTCAAATTAACGTATTGTATTGTACTCTTAAGTTAATTACTTAAGCTATGCCCGCGTATTTTTTTACAAATTATGCCTGTTACCCATACCGCCGTCTGCCTCCCGTCGTTCCTGTGTCTTAAAAGATTGACATATACTGTAGCGGGTATTTTTTTTAGATCATTTAAAGAAGAATCATTATCTAGTACACATTTTTGATTTCTTCAACCGTTTTCGCAGTGTCTGCAATGGAAGTCCTCAAAGATTTCTACATTTCTCGTTGTTTCTTTGCTGCTGTTGATCGCAACGTGATGTTTAATTGCCGAAAGCCTTCCTCGGTAAATGCTCTAACCATGACAAATATAATTTTTCAATTCGAATCAGTGGTGCCTGCGATCAGCGTTCAAACAAACTGTTCGGTTTTATAATATTAGTATAGATTTAATTGCATTTACTTTATAGTGAGGTAATTTGATCTTGAGTTTAAATAATACGAAGTTCGATAGACCAGACAGGGTATACTGTTCTGATTACAGCTCTGCCTGTTTATCGGACAGAGAAATGTGCAAACATAAGGGGAATGGGTTTTCACCTCAAAACGCGAATTCTTTTGTCTTTTGTTTTTTTTTCTTGTAATGCATTGTCGTTTAGTAATAAGTTAAAATGTGAGCTTTACATACAAAATAGTTAAAGTTTGATACAAATCTGATATTTGAACCTGTTGAGAAATGCCTTCTTCTCTGTTCTGGACTTTTTGGCAATGCTACTTGGGTTATAAAGTTGTTCACCTTGATTAAGAAATGGTTTTCGACGTTTCACCATCACAAGTTTGTGCCATGCTCAAGATATTTGGAGCGTTTCAGTCTTCGCTTCGACGAGGAACGTCGACAGCGATTTCATATTTACCTCTATACCTCAAGTGGACTTTGATGTTAAACATAATAACGTAAAACTTACAAAATACGTTCTCCTATATAAAAACCATAATAAGTCCGTCAGTGGCTGACAGAGAAACGAATACACCTACTGTGATTTACACGTAGAGCGGATTTTCAAAGCCGAATACAGGAAAATTTAACCAATGAACCAAGCGAGGATGTGTCTTAACAAAATTTACGTAGAACAATAAAGATAATATATTTAAACTACCATCTAACCTTTAAAACTTTGCTCCAGTGTGCGTAGACGAAAGCTCTTGTTCTTGCTGATGCGTTTTTTTGTAGGTCCACGTATTTTAACCACTGCGTAGTTTTTGGCTCGTCCACTACAGAGTATTTATAGATATATAATTTATTAACTTTATGTGCCTTAATAAAAATATTAGTCTTACTACATATTTCGTTTTTATTAGATCTTGTCACAAACTGACTGGTGTAGTCTTTCAGAGGGTAAAGTATGACCCTGCTGTAATAAGAAGTATAGACTAGAATATTCTATTGTGTAAAAAATTCAAAAGGGGCGAGGCCGGATACCAAGTAAAAATTTCTTAAAAAATGGCATAGGGTTACTGTTTTAAATCACTACGTGTTTTTAAATTTTTAGACTAACATTTTTACTCTGAATTTGTAAGGACAAGAGATTCCCATAGGAATCGACCAATAAAATCATTAGTGAAACGCATTTACTCTAATATAGAATGTAAAAACATTCTAATTTAAATCTATTAATATTTTTAACGTTTGACTTGAATTTACCTTTTCAATCCTTTTTAAATATATTGTTTCTGTAGGAAAATACGACAGGACTTGTTAATGAAAGAAATTTTTGAGATTTTATTTCACTAATTAAGAATTCTGTGACTGAATAGTGGGTGGTAGTAAATAATGGGATTACAATCGTGCGTTTTGTGGTCGTAATTTAGGCGAGTAATGTTTATATTTTCTAGACTTTTTTTACATACAGAACATACGATAGCTAACAAAATAAAACCATAAATTTAAACATTACTTTATTAATTTAAAATACATAAATACAATTCAATATCGGGTATAGTTTTTAGAAGAAAATTAAAACGCATATTAAAATCTTATTAATAACACATTAAATAAAACAATATATTACTATGAGTCAGGAATAAATTCATTGCTACGAGCTGCCCAACTAAATATCTATAAGTTGTGCCTTTTATCTACTATTACAGCGAAATGCTGCCTGTTCCATATTCGGCCAGAACAAGATTGTTGCTATGTAATTTTATCTCGCTCATACACGCAAGGTAGCTAAAATCTGGCTCCATGTTTCATTATATTATTTATGAGACCGCTTCATGGGCATACGCAGGGGGGCAGGGGAGAGGCATCTGCCCCACTGGAATACATCATTATTTTTTTTATTAGAAACTGAAAAATGCTTAGACATTTCAACAGATTTTTAAAGATTTGCCTTTGCTAAACGTACCCCATGCCCAGCCAGCTGAGTACGCCCATGGGCAGATATAACATGGGCAGCAGTAAATAGGGTAAATATGTGTAAATCCAAATAATATAAAACATTTTGAGTCAATAAGGTTGAATACAATAAAATTATAAAAAAAAATTAACAAAATTACAACGTTGATATTTTTTATGGATTGCGGTTGTGACGCATACACACCTTAAGGCAGACAAGTCCCAAGTATAGGACCTCGCCTCGAAAACTATAAGTTAAAAATTATGTAACATTTCCATTGGCTTCTATGCAAAGCGACTCGGGTATTCGAGCTGTTCGCCGTTATTGAGAAATGGTTCTTGACGTTTCACCATTCTGGATTGCCATCCAGCATCGTCATGACACGACGGCCGAACAGCTCGAAAATCAAGCAGCTTAGTAAAAGTCAGTCATACAATTTACGATCTGTATAGTCGTTAGATGCCCGAATATACCTACATATAAAAATTCTAAGTCTTAACCTGTGCGATTATTAACGACAATTGACGTTAAGGCAATTTTTAAAACATAAATTTACAATGGACTGGTAGAATTGACCGTGCTCGGGAAAGACAAAGCGGTCGTACGAGTTTCTGAATACGTAGAACCTACATTAAATGGCTTTCACTGAATCTAAACTTCACGCTAACCTTGCGCCCCAACTGGTCCTCAACTTAACTGATATTTAAATCTGACGAGAATCTAGATCGAAATCTTGGATGGACTTTTCTGCACCCAAAGTTCGATCCCGAGATCTTATTGAATGCAGTCAAGTGCACTAGATCAACGTCAAATCAGGATACCGATCCAAATTAGTCCCACTGTTTGCGAAGCCCCACGATCGCGTTGTCCCTCTCGCACATCTCGTAGGGAACGTTTAATTTTTTCAACTACGGGCTCCATAAAGTTTAACACTAGACCGGACTTAATCTATTATTGCTCGCCTGATATAAGCTTAGACTGGAATGTATAATAAAAATATTCATAATATTTAATACATCGTTAATACTTTAATAAGGGAAAGATTGAGATCATTATAGTAAAAAGCAAGTGGGCGATAAGTGTGTTCTCTTAAAAATATGTCATTTGTTATTCAGTAAAACATTAAAAAATATGGGACGTTTTTTATCATAAAAGCGGACTCGAGGCAGGAATGGCCTTGACTGTCTTAGAATAAACGAGAAGAAGTACAAACGATTGAGCATCAAGAAACAAATATAGGCCGTGAAAGTTATAATAGAGCATAAAATACATTAGATAAAAGGTTTAAACACAAGTTCACAGACAGCTACATCGATGAACCCTACTAAAACATTTAAAACAATATTCGCTGTATAGGCCATTATTGCTCTCGGGTCCCGAATAAAAATTCTCGATAATACAAAAGAAAATTCAATCAATACAAAATACATTAAATTCGTTTTAATCCTAGCTATCTGATTGGCATCGAAATGTTTCTAAGAGTATTTTCCTAATTATGTACTTAGTCACTACATACTACACAAATGAATCTAGAGACATACAAAATCTACAAGCTAAACTATAGGTGTTCTGTCAAATAGCATTTAGCAAGTGCAATATATAAATCCAAATGCATTAAAAGTAAATAAATAAAAAAAAATTACCACCTCCTACCCTTCCAATATTATATAATGCACAAACTGTTGTGTTTAATTTTTCATGAACTAAATGCTCTAAATAACGAATTCTTGTATGAGTTCTAAAGGAAAAAAGAAGAAGCATTTTGACCAGAAATATTATTGTTTCGGTTGTTGAGATTATGTTTTTTTTAAACATATTGTATACATAATAAAATATACATAAAGCAGATATAAAATGCTATTTCACAAAAGCACCATAATCTTCGAAAGGAACATTATCTACAACTCTACGAACATGCATTTACTAAATTCTACAAACGAAATGTTCAGTTCTATACTTTTCGGCTGTAAAGGATAGTGCTTGTAAAGATACGATATCGGGGGTTGAATAAAGTATTTCCTTTCTTAGGTCAGAAGAGAAGTAGGTCGTCGTTAAGTACGTTACTCTAGTTTTAGTAATGGGCAAAGCTGAGTTTGGGGGGGTGGGGGGCTTGTTCAAAGTTGCCGCTACTAGGGAAACCTAACAGGCAAAATCTTTTAATCGCAAAATTGAAACGATGTATAAATTTAAATAGGATTATAGCATAAGACCCCCTTCCCCTGCAGGAGAGCTGAGTGCGCCCATACGTTTCGTTATTCTAGGACACCCTTTTAAGTCGTGATCCACCGATTGATCATAAATAACGTAATTAAGAACATTTGAGAGATTTCCAAACTAAGTGATACCGCGTGTAAAATTCAATATAACACTAATTTCTAAGTATAAAAATGTCTTACGCCCAGAGGTAGGAGTTTTCTGAAGGTTTTCTTATATTACCTAAGATAATGTCATGAAACCAATAAAAAATGTTATTGCGCGAAAACATAATATGTACATATACATTTATTGTTGTATTGTTAGTAGGTAGTCAAGCTTTTAGTATAATATATGTAAGGTAGCTACATGAAGTAATAAAGTAGTTGTAACTCCACCTTGTCTTTATCTAGTCACAACATTTATTATGTGCTTTTTTCAAATATCAAGTTCCATACTAGATTTGAATCCACACAAAGTTCTTTCCATTTACTCACAAGTTGTTCTACAAGCTTGCGTAAGATAACTAAGAACTTCGCGGGGTAACTTCAACTAAACAGTCAAATTTATAAGTTACTTAAAATGTTTAAATTAATATTTGGCGCATCGTCGCATTTGCTAAAATGGAAGTTTATTAATAATAAAAATTCGATAAGAAATAGTTCAGTGAAAACTCCTCTCAACTGAGTGTAGATATAAAGGTTACTTCTTAGACTCTAAAGATGTAGATGACTCTCTTCGCAGTGTCAGCTTCAATTTCTCATCTTCCTCGAGGTCGTCTTCGAGGGAAACACTCCGGGTCAAGGTGAGACCGAGAGCGCGGGCCTTCCATGCTTCTAATCTCATGACCTAGAATATTGTATTATACTCGTAAATTTGAGGTTAATTCGGGCATTTTGCAAAGCGGTTCGGGTTTCCCAATTACGAAGGAACAACTTGAAAATCCAAATAACTTTGCGTTAATAGCGTTGATATGTGTGACAAGTATTATTACTCTGCATGCAGTCTTTGAAAATGAATTGTTCCTCCATACCTCAGTTACGACTTGTCACCCATATCACCGTCAAAAGAAATACAAATGTAGAATATTATTTTGACAGTCCAAAATATACTAAAATACTGCAATAGAAATACAAGACACGACAACTGGCTCCTTCTAATTTTAGGGTATACACACGTTCGAATTCTTTATCGTGTACCATTTATATAACATGTTTTAGTTATTTTTTGTAATAAAAAACATTAAATTGATCGTAAAAAGCAAGTCTTTTTGTTGTATTAGTTTTATTGTCTGATATAGTTTGCGTTTTAATTTTGTATGTACCATTGGTAAATCAATCGTTTGTAGTTTGTAATAAGAATGTACATTTTGCTCATAGAACATGAGCAAAATGTACATTCTTATTAAAGCAGCCCTTAATTCTGATGATTTGGATACATATAGAAAAACATTCCTAAGGGATAAAATGTTCTGAACCTTGAAAAAGGACACAATGATAGCAGGCTGTGGTCTTGAAGCTTTCTAAATATATAAAATTTTACATTGCAACTGAAACATACCACAAACCACAATAACAATTAAGGTGATCGCACATTTCTCAACAACTCAAGGAATGAGTGTAAATTTAATAAAATACCACTCGATTCTAAAATGCTGTGGGTTGGTTGACAAGCGTGTGATGACCTTTATCACTACAACTAAACTCGTACATGCAGTCTTGATTTAGTTAGTAGAAAGAATTAAGTATATACAAGAATATAGTTATAAGTGTAAAAATACCTTTCAAAACGTTTGTTTTTTTTAAGTATCTCGTTAGATGGCATTTGAAAGTAAATTGAATTTCTAATATTCTTACAACCGGTGCATTCTATCTACCACACATGACACAGGATATCACTTACTTGAGCCATTCCCACGGCTCGCCCGCCGATGTGGTCGGAGTTCGGGGCTGTGCAGGAACGTTTTAGTTAAGCCAATGTACAATTGATGCCGATAAAATGCTCGTGAAGCCCACAAGGGTATTTTTTTCATAATAAATTGATACAAAGCAATTGTAATTAATAACCACGTAAGATAAATTCCCGTTTCCCGTGGAGCATGGGACGTACGGACTTGTGTGTCCCCATGTTAATGGTCGATTTTCGTAACAGACTAGTAGCTAGTAGTTGATTAGACTTGTACGCCCTGCCCAACGGAAACAATTTGGTGTCTACTCGGGATTCGATCCCAGGACCATTCGTGCTTAAAGTTGTTGCATGTTAGGTATTATATATAAGCACATAAAATGGTTTTCATTATCTAACGTTAAAATTAGTGAAATTATTAGAGTACTGAAGATATTTTTAAGTGCTTTCGGAGTAGTTACTTAGTAATATTTATTTTAAATGGATATCAGTTACACGCTTTTTAAACAATTGTTTAAGAAAACACTTCAGGAGCAATTTTTGTGAATACAAACACACAAGTGGAATATTAATACAGATTACAATTTAGACCAACGCACAATAAACACTGAATACAATATAATATATCATATTATTGGTTAAATAAGTAGCTGTCACTAGAATTTAGAGTCCTATAAATGATTTATGATTCAGGTGGTCAGCCAAACTTCCCTTTATGCGTTAAATACAACCATATAAAATAAATGCGCTGTCAAAACATTTGGCTGACTGAAACTGACATTTACGAGAAGATGACATGTTTAAAATAAGCTTTTGAACACCACCCGTTGATTATAAGCTATACATTTTTTTGTTCCGCGCTGTTCATACTGCGCATGAGTAAATGAAAAACAGCTGAGCGAGGTTTCAAAAACAAATATGCTATGACATCACCCAAAATAGATTCTTGCTGTTGTTCCAAAGAGCTTATATTTGATAGCATTCTCAGTATGTTTGTTAAGGTATGATATAGTATATTATATTTACAAATTGTTAATTCAAAGCGAGATATGTTAAGCATTATGGGAATTCTTGACAGCCAGTGCCGTTGTGCTGTAATGGTTATGTGCGCAAGATTTGAGAATCAAAAGATTATATGTGCCTACTTTCGAATAACACACATAATTTTGTGTGACCGTTATTGTATATATCTGTTATTTTTATTTTAAATATTAAAGATATTATTTTAAGATAGATCAGAAGATAAATTATGACAAAAAAAAAAGTTTTTTCTATGTATACCAGTACAATATATTTATGTTTACAGAAAAATTAGCAATCCACCGATTCAAATTCAAACTCCTGTCAACAAAGAACGATATACTCGGTTGAAATATAACCCACTATACCGTTTAGACTGGGGATTCTCAAAAAATTATAGCTCGACCAATATCTTTCCGCAATGCGCTCGATGTCTTTTGAGACTCCCTTTTTGTGCTTGTTAGTTATTAGAGACACGAATCTTGTTGAGTTTGTGTCGTATATTAGTCGTCTCCCTTCTACGATACAAGAAAGAGCAAGACAGATTCGATTTTGAAAAACGAAATTTGTTAATCACCTCATACAAACAAAAACTTAAATATGTATTATTTACAACAAGAATTTAATAATGAATTGCTGTATAGCAAAACCATAACTCCCTGTTTTTTAGTGTTCTGTACATACATACAAGTGTGTCTGTCTGTTTGCGTAAATTCAAATGAAAAATATATATTACACATGACTTTGATACAACAAGATTCGTATTTATGCTTAAATTTAAACTAAAGACTTTTGTCACTTACTGACACGTTCATTTAAGGAATACTGGAGCGAGACGGAAGTCTATCTCTAGTATAGCGTATTTTGAACTCGATTTTGTTAAATATAGAGTTCAATTAACACTAAAGTCTCACCTCTGCTTTTAATTCAGCAATTTGCTCTTGCAGTTCGCGAACGCGCTCCGAGTCGTCTAGATTGTTATTCCTAAGTTCTCCCTCAGTTGCCATTACTTCGTTCTGTGAAAAATGCTTAGATTAAAACCTTATTATACGTAAAAAAAAACTTCATTGACTTGAAAACGTTTCCCACGAAATTTTTTATATAGCTACAATGAAGTGTAAGTACTAAAATAGTAAATATAATTACACATAATACCTTTAGCTTATATTCAGAGACTTCATTTTCGAGCTCCGCTATTCTTTGAGCTACCTCCATATTCTTAATAGATGCCTGCATCGACTCATATTTAGCCTGAAATAATTCGATAATAATATAGATATTATACTAGAAGTATTATTTTGTCATCTGGCCACCATCTATAAATTCGATGTATAATATTTCTGTCAGAAAAAAGTAATATAAACATTTATTACACAATCCTATGATGTTACTCTACATTAATTAGTTTTTAGTAAAGGTTGTGATTGGTGAATTATAATAGATGATAAATATAGGAATTGTACCTTGCTCTCGAGATCGTTGTATTTATGCTGGAACTCCCTCTGTCTGCTCTGCAGCACGCGTTCTCTTTGCAGCGCATTGTCCAACGCTTCGCGCATTTCTCTCAACTCCTCGTCTTGACGCCGTAATTGGTTTGTCGATACTTGCACTTGGGTGCGAAGCTCCATTTCCTAAAATCAATATATACATACTGGTGGCCATGGGGAGAAAAGACATCCTACAAAGGGTTTCTTTCAAACTTTCATCGACAGACAGGTTAGAATCACAATTAAAAAAATGTTTCGATTCGAATTCAGGACCTCAACTGAACAAAAGCACTCTTATATGAAAGTCTGAGGCCCGAAATTTACGTTATTTTAATTTTGCTTTAAAATATTTATGTACGTATTGTATTCACTACTTTATTTTCAAACACAAAAATGCTAAAATTACTGTTATGTGTATTGTTAAAATTTTAGATTTACCGTAAAAATACAGGGTGTAAAAAAGGATGATGTGATATGAATTATCAAATGTATTGTAGTCCTATGTTAAGAAAAATTAAGATGTAAACTATTGAGAAGTTGAGGTAAGCGGTCTTTAATTGAGTAGTTTCGCCGATTTTAGCTTTATTGATTACAGCTTCCGTCGCAACTCTTAAATTAATAATATAAAATAAAGCGCTAGACAGATACTAGTGAAACACGTATTATAAAGTATACAAAAATGTTTAAAAGCATGAGTAAAGAATAAAAGAAGAAAGAATTTAATGAATGTCTGAGTTTGAAGGGTAGACCTTTAAGATTTAAGGGTCTTTAATATTGTTCAATTGTGTTTATATATTAAGATGTTCAATACCAAAATAAAAATAAATCAAACTCATTAGCACGAAACCAAAATCGACGCTTTCAATAGATTACCTTTAACCTAAGCTCCTTAAGTTCAGTGAGTGCTTCGACCTCCCTTATCCTGGTGGTCATCAGTTCTTCGTCCAGCTTCTGCACTTCACTGGTCCTGCCCTCCCAGGCGCGAAGTAGCTTTTTCGGCGTGGCCATTATATCGGACACCATATTCGATTGCACGGCTGGTGGAGGCGCTTCCTGGCGATGCTCCTAAAAAGTAATAGTTAATAAATATAAGTTACTTCACGAAAAATTGCAGAGCCGTGGTTTACAACGAATATCGAAAGACTGTTATTTCGACCTTTTGTTAGAATTTTCATAAGTGACCTTTTACAAACAAAATTTTGAAAATTCGTGTCGATTCTCGGTTCTTTGTAGTAGCGAAGTGACAATATTAATCACATAAATAATAGATAAAAAGTAAGTATTATACATTTAATATAATAAATAAATTAATAATAAATTTACTTTAATTCCGTTATATTGATACTGTTATATTACGTATATGCTTCAACAATGAATATAAAATTTCATAAAAATCGGCCGAGCCCTTTCGGACACTAAAATTTTAAATATTTCTCCTTGCTTTGCTACCTCCTACTCTCTTAGTTTCTACTCTACTCACATGAAGATGGCGCTGCCAAGTCTCGGAGAGTTCAGTAACCCGCTGCCTGAGATCTTTAAGGGACAGATTCGCTTCTGCCTCGCGGAGTTTTACAGCAATAAGTTCATCCTGTAAATCGTGAATAAATTACTTTGGGCCTCCAAATTTAGTATTGGCCTTCGGGACTAAATACCCGAATAAATATGACGGGATCGTGGGTTGAATGGTAGTAAAAATGGCTATCAACTAGCCATAAATTGCTAATATTAAATTACCAGCATGTCCAACATGACTCTGTCTGGAAAGCAGGTTATTAATGTCTGGATATCGAAATTCCATCACGAACTACCTTAAGGTGATAGAAAAGCCGCGAAGAAGTAAACACGAGTTTCCGTTTCAGCCTAGATGGTGCAAAGTCAAAAGCTCACTTTGACTTTGAAACGCATTGTAATAAGGGCACGAACACAATAATAAGCAATATTCGGTCGTATAGGGAACAGAGGGTCACTGCTATTTGGCATCTAATTGAACGAACGACATGGAAATTTCTCCGTACTCACTTGCAAATGTGCGACGTTGTTGTCCACTCTCTGTTTCCTCAGCATTTTGTTCTCGTTTTCGAGGTCCGCTATTCTCGCGGTAAGTTCCCTCTCTGTAGCCTCTTTCTCGGCTGCTTCGAGCCTCGCTCTCACCAATTCTCGCTGGAGGCAGCGAGCTAACTCCTCGCCCTTAGCAACGTTCATCTCCGATCCCTCGAGTGAAGACTGTCGTGAATTGTTCTGAAGTAATAAAAATATTGTTTTTACTGCTGAAGAGCTACTGAAGGATCTGAAGAGTTTGTTTGTTTGTTTTTTGTTTGAACGCAATGAACTCGGGAATTACTGGTTTGTAATGATTTTTTTTTTGTTATAAAATATTTTCGGTTGGATATTTATCGATTTTAGGGAGGAAGGCTTAAAACTATAAAATGGCGCTGCGACCAATAGGAGTGAAAAAACAGTGAAGAATGTGAAAAAACGAGGAAAAAAGATGCTTCATCTTTGAGGGCTTCCATTGCTAAACGGTTCAAAAACCTAAAATATATGTATGATAAAAAAATATCTTAAGATAATCAACAAATGTCTGCGACAACATATGTCTATCAAACATTATCTAAGGCCCGAATTCGAATCCTGGATTTTCTGTTGTGCAGTCTTATCTCCTAACCACTAAATCAATGCGGCAGATAATTATTACCTCTGCTATAGTCATTTCCAGGGATCTTATCTCGTCTTGGGCAACTGCCAACCTCTGTTGTATATCCATGTTAGCTCGCCTTAGTGCATGAACCTGAAAATATTAAAAGAATGGTTTAAACAAATAATTCTTCTCTGGGTTTTATGAATTCCCACAACTGGGATTGATATTTCTATAGTTTCCGCTGAGCCCGCGCGTTTTCGCAGATACTGCGAATTTGAACCTCACTCAACGGCCTCAAGTTTAGACAAAAATATAGGTCACATTTGGGTAACCTGTATTGATATTACGAATACGAATACGTTGTATCAGGTCATCAATACAGGAAGTATTGTCCTAATGTAATTTATATATAAGCTATTTTTAAGTGTATTGTTTAAGTATGAAAACTACTATCCAATGTAACTGGCTTTTGCAGTAATTGTTTTTAATAAATACCACTATTTATTATTTAAAAAACAATTAAAACGTGGTTTAAGACAAAGTTACGAGATGCTGAGATTATAAATGTAGTCAAATTGTAAAATTGAAACAGATTTTGAAAAATGAATGTTTGAAAACTTCAATATTTTTCACATGTTGCATTGCACACGATGGCACTATATAAATTAAAAGGGATTATAAATGGAAAAAATAAAAAATAAAGCAGGCGGGCAGGACTTGAACCGGCATACACAGCGTTCGGAAATTGCAGCGAAATTTTTTAATTTAACAATACGAGTATGAGATTGGGAACCAAAAGAGAGGATACCTCTCTTTCCAAGGCGAACGTCTCCTCTTCCCCCTCAGCTCTGTCAACCTGGCCGCGGACCAGCCGCTCGGCGAGAGCTGAACTTTCCTTCTCCAGGAGTTCCACCCGCTGCTTCAGCAGACGATTCTCTTGACGGAGACACTGAAAAGGCAAAGAGTGTTATTGTAATTAATCTATTTTATTTAATAATAATTTATTATGCTTCCTTAAAAGCTGGCATCTCCAGATTTTAACTAAGAACCGACGTTTTGGATGCCTTTGCAGTAGTCGTGGTCATGGAGAGACTAAAGATCAAAATAGCTACGCGTATGTATATGTCGCATTTTAAACCGTTTAAGTGTTTTATTTTAATATGTGTCTTACTCGCGTAAACTACAGACAGGATTTAAGCAGATTTTGTTTACGCCAAGTCGGGATTTTGAATTGTTTTGAGAAAAAACACCGACTCTTACATCATACATAAAGTATACAATCGGAGATTTTAAAATATTTTTATTTGGGTTACTTCTACTATTTATTTCCATTATTTGGCGGCTTGGTGAATACTCACTCTTAAAGCTGCAATATCGCTCTGTTCTTTGGTTTTGATCGTCGTATATTCCTTTTCGAGCTTCTTCATTTTCTTCGGGTTCACCTTGATCGAATAAGCCAGGTTCATGAACGAGTCTTGGTCCGCTTCCGCCTTCGCTGGTAACTCTTTTTGAATGTACTGTAAGTATTTTATAAAGGTTTTTAACTATGCAGAAATTTGACTTATTTTTGTGCCCGTTGAAAAAGATTTAGTAAAAATTGACATGATCGAACCCTGCCCTAACCAAGGCCTAAAACATTGCAATGGGCGTCGGGTCAATGAGATAGTATTATTTGTTATAGATATAGCAAATATAGCATATGTTAACACATGAGCATGCGCAGCGTAGTAACGTAAGTTAACGTCAACATTATCTACGCGATAATCTTGTTATCAGTGCTATCAACAATAAGATAATTAAATTAGTAATTTGTTTTGTAATCGATGATAATAAAGCATAGATATTAAAATATACTCTTTGGCTTTGAACTAAAATAGAACAAGAAGACTAGAACTGGCTTCAAAGACCAGGCTCGAATATTGACGTAAAAATTGTGTGATTGTGTATCTAGTGTTTCACTTAATTTTTGCCAATTGCATTTTGCCATTGCGGTACAATTGAGAAATATATTTTATTTATTAATGATATTTATGTGTTTAGGGCATATATGACAAAAAAGTGATAAAATAAAGTAAAAAAATGTATCGTTTTTCGTACCGGTGCCGATTTCTAAATTCAAAACCTCTCTCAACTTACTTTAAGTATGTTTTCCATGTCCAGCGACAAAAGATCGTCTTTGCCAAGGGTGAGCAGAGCTATTGCCACCTTGAATACGATTTCTATGCCCTCAGAAAGGAACACGTCCATTATTCTGCATGCCAACGAGAGAGAGAGCGTGGTCGTGAATAGCGTCAGGAACCAGCTACTAGCGTATATTGAGGTTATGAAGCTCTGAAAAATGTACATAACTATTGTCTGTTCTTTACACATAAAAAACACAACATTTCGTAGTTGAAAATAAGTTAACTAATATATTATTCTTATTATCTATATGAATAAGTTTTTACCTATAGATATCAAAGTTTATACAAAAGTAACTATTTCTATAATTTTCAATCTGTCTGTCTGAGTTTATGTAACAGATTTTATTAGAAGTATGTTAGAAGCAAGGAAGATGATTCGGTTTTTCTTTTAAGAAAACTTTATTTTCCTTTACGTGAAAGTACCTGTGATTGAAAGTGTACATGAAGCTCAGGTAAAAGCTCTTGCACCAGGTTCTCCAGCTGGAACATACAGAGACCAAGCTCGGCCATGCTTGGTTTGAACATATCCCGCATCCTGTGCTGCTGCATAATCTTCACGAGGACTGCGAACGCTTCCTCCTCGGGCATCTACAAATAAAATTTCATCAGCTCTTAGGGAGTTCCAAGAAAAACTGAAATGGTTAGACTAATTTGTATAGGATTTTTACTGCCAGCTAAAGAGTTGATCAAGAATTTATTATTTTATTACCTGCATCAACAACAGTCCGACAATGAACCCGGAACCCTGACAGTATCCAACTTCCCTGTCGTGCAGGGAATACGCCTTCATCACGTTAAAGAGTGCTTCCTGCCCCAGGCCATCTTTCTCCTTGAAGAAGTCGTGCTCCGGGTACGTTCTAGTGATGTCGCGCCGTATAACCTTCTCGCATGCTGACTTAGCCTACAGAAAAAGGAGAAACGAATCATTAAATCAGTTTAATCAACATTTCGGAGTTTTTGAAAAACTGACGCGAGTCTTCTAACCTCAGTTATTACATTTTAATCTGTATAATCACTGGCAAATTGGTGCCATCTAATTGCCAATAAGTCTATTTGACGTCATACAAAAAACTACATAATTACGACACTTTTTTATGGTTTTAAACTTAAAATAAGTAATATAAAAATGGTCTCGTTCTACACCGTTTAAAAAGTGTTTTAACCTTCCCATAAACTACAGGTCATTATGACAGACAAGCAAAGATAGACTTAAAGTGACATAAAGGTTTGCTATTCTAAAAATTATTATCTTAGGAATAGTGATGTCATAAGTAACATTATTCTTTATTGAGGTATTCGAAATATTTATTGACAGAAGGAAAAACAAAGAACTGCATGACACATAAAATAAAAAGAAAACATATAGGAGGAGCTAGGACCAAAGAGTTTGTTGAAACTTTTCTAACATCCTCCCTTTTTGCAAACTCTATAATAATAATAACCCCATTAGCCCGCAAAGAAATGTCAATCGCGGCTTATACATGGGCTTCAGTGCTAGAGATTGCTACAGATGTCTGCTTACGACTTGCCCAAGAGATCACTCCTCCTGCATAAATGCACATAATTTTATATTTTATATAGGAGGAGCTAGGACCAAAGAGTTTGTTGAAACTTTTCTAACATTCTTGACTAACGTTTTACCTTGATATAAGAAGCATAGAGGTTCTTCTCCGGCGACGACTCGACACCGGCCAGTAGCTGCCACACTATTCCCCTAAAGTGGTGCGGCACCCCCTGCCTCACGAGGTCGCGCACAAACTGATTCCTTCGCTTCCACTCCGTTTCCCAATTGGTGACGACTCTCCCCCAAAGACCCCACAGGTCCTCCTCTCCATTACTTCCAACCCGAGCATCTTGGGTCTCCTGGCTCGACGTGGCTGTAAATAAGCAATTTTAATTATTAACTAATTTTATGGACGGTTTGTCCTGTGCCCTGGTAGCCATGTATGGCTAACAATCAACGGGTTGTGGCTAAGGCAAGTTTTTAAAAAAATATTAAAATTTCGTCCTTCACCGTTCACAAATGAAAGAGCCAATAAGTGTAAACGCATTTCGATTTCAGTCTGTGACATCCCGAACGGCTAAAGATCGAATAAGTCATCAGAAGTTACATGGCTGAAGTATTTTACCTTCCATGAAGTGAATTTTTGTCGATTTTGAAAGTGAGGATTTGTCGATCCTTCTACGTCAAAAAAGACTAGAGTTTGTTTGCAAACGCGCTTTAATCACAAACTAATACTAAGGAGCCTACGCTGCGACAAATAGATTTAGAGCGAATGGAATTTATTAAGTTTCAGAATTGCATACACGCAGGTATTAGTACATGTTTACAAATATCTGAATTAACTTTTAAGATAAAACTTTTATATATGTAAATATATACTTACCGCGTATATTATTAAAAACATTGGCTATATAAAATTCGAACACGCTCAAGTCGAATACGTCACTCTTCTCCATCGTCTAAACAAAGATAAGTAGGAGATGAGAACACTTTGTGACTTTATCATAGATTGATTATCTTTTGATAGTGTAAAAATACTGTTTTAGCAGTGTACATTAGTCACACCTCTCACAAGCTTGGAGTAAAAAAAAAACTCCATTTAAACCGCATTTTCCAACCCGTCCTAGCAGCACTTGTATCGGTTTAGATCGCTGAATATTCGTTTATTTATTATTAACTTTACAAAGCGTTCTATTTAAATAAATTTATTCAAAAAAATTATAGGAATTTTAAATACATATACCTATTTATAAAATATCATCAGTTTAGTACTATTTTAATTTAAATACACATATTAATAAAAAATAAAAGAAAATTATGATGAATTAAAAACCCGAACGTATAGAAGCGGACATGTTTAGTACCACTATTTATGTTAGTTTATACCATCACCTCGAAGTTTGCGACATAAAAAAAACGATTGTAGGCTATAATTAAAGTTAGCAGAAATATAGAGTTCAATGTGAAAACTACCAAACGGATTTTTATGAAACTCAATAGTAGCGCGGTGTGCGTTAGTAGTTTTCAAGTCGGACTGTTCGCGGTACTTCTACAGTGAGCCCACAAAGTAGACTCCAGCTAGGAAGCTACGAATTTGGCCCAAATTCACGCGTGGCGTTGCAATGACGCAATTGTTACGTAGTGTGGGAGAGGCTCGATGTTGCATTATTATTATAATTTCGTAAAACTTATTTCCATTTTATATACCTAGTTGGAACTATCCAGGTCACGCGAATTAACGCTCGAGCGATTCCTAGTTTACTTGCCTTGATCTTTATTTTTTTCTTGTAAATTTGTGTAAAATTACTGTCACAAATAACTTAACATATATCGTTGTTCAATCGCTACCGATCGGAAAGTATTAATGAGATTTGAGCGCGGTCGAAAACAAAAATGTTATTGTAATCCTAGAATTTTATTGTAACAGAGGAAAGGTTTGGCGTGTCACACCATAGAAGATGAAATATCCCAGGCCAAAAACATCTAAGTAAGATGCGCTATATACCTTCATATTTTGGCTGTGGTTTCAATAATAATAAATAATTTAAATACATATGAGACCCTGTAGGGATCAAAGCCTCGATCAATTCAACATTAGTCATACAATGTTTTTAATGTATATAATGCAGACTCACCCGAGGTCAAGGATATTTGAGATGTGTCCGAGCTCTTTCTGCTGTGAATGTTGTTGAGCGAGGGGCTCTTGGCGTCCGCCTCGATCTTCCTATTCTCCTCCTCCAGTTTGGCGAGCAGGGCCTTCTCCGGCGTTAGTATCGCAGTGCCTTCGGTGCGGACAACTGTTCCAAAACAAATATTATTTACATCGAATATAAGACGACTTTAGGATTTTACCACCATTGTTACGGCACACAGTTTTAAAAGCTAATAGATATAATATTAAAGAGCTTTTATATTTAAATAAAACACTGTAACGGTTTAAAACGCGATATATATAAGTGAAACTCATTTGGAGATTATTTTAACTACGGATGGACGTTTCGGATGCGTGGTCACGGGGATATATAAAAATAAGACTATAACTAATATACATATATCGCTTTTTTAACTATTAGAGTGTTTTATTTAAATATGTACTACTCGCATCCTGTGAAAATATATATTACTTTATTATTCACAACAAAGTCGTTCTTAACCTCTGATGGAAATATAAAGTCAAGTCTACAGTAGCAATCCTTGTATTAGCGCGTGCATAAGTATCGTTAGTTCAAAGTTAGTTTAATTAGTCGTGTATAAAACGGTTAAGTCATAAATGGTTATTACGATTAGTTAAAAATTGTGTTGAAATGTGCGAGTGCTATTTTTGACGTTAGGAAGTACAGGAGTTTTAGTGAGATGTTTCAGTTTTGTAAAATGTGGTGTTAGAAAACGTGGGGAACGCATGGGACATAGGTCGATAGCACATCTTGTCTAGATGTTATATGGCTGGCTACACCTTCCATAAAATGAACCCCATGCTTGTCTGTCATTCTTTGTCATAAATGATGTAAGGGATTTCAGGATGGGCTATGGGGTGGTAGAAATTGAGTACGAAAGATTAGTGCACACATAAGGGTAGGTTTATTCCAGCCAGAGTTGATATTAATACCAAAAGTTATCTTAATAAAATGCTATGGGAACGATATTTAATTAAAATTCAACTGGATAATTAATTGATAGGAATATCAAAATTCCTCCAGGTCAAGAATCACCAACAAATGGAAACCACGGACAGCGTATCTTCTTGAGCCACTATAGGTAGATAACCATCAAGTGTCTTACTAAAAAGAATCCTGCCATATGCCTCTCAAAGATTGTGAGTTCATTGACCCGTTCACTTATCCAAAAGCTTACGCTCGATACGAGTGTTCTGCTCAAGTGTAACTCAAAGCCGAATTGGAAATGCATCAAAGCAGAGAGCATCGCGTCGCATCTAAATTTACATGCGAAGAGAACACAGACATTAGACCAGAAACGGACAAGACTGACATTATTAATAATCAAATGATCGCCACTAAAATCAAAGTATGCATTAAATATATTGTTTGAAAATCCTCTAAAGTTTACCGGAAATTAAAATAAAACACTTTAAATGAGTTAAAGATGCGAAATGGTTGGAAATCTTAGTACTTTTTGCATGCCATTGCAATGACGTTATTATATAAATAAAAAATCTATTTGGATTGAAATAAGAGCGATGCATTAAGGTCTTAATAAAATTGCTTGAAAACATTTGAGACACCTAAGTCTAAGGCTGCTGCAAAGTATTCGTAATATTAGATCGTAGTTAATAATAAATACGAAATATTACACTGTAAGTGTTTCATTTAAATATATTGTAATTTTTATGAACTTTTCGTAGTCGATACTTATCTAAATAAATGACTTGTCGTTTCTGGCTAATATCCAAAAGGGATAAATTAGGACTATAATCTCACAAGCTTAAAGCTGATGGACAGAAATAGTAAAATATCCCAAGTTGATAAGTTAGTTAAAAGCTACGTCAATTCTGGCTGGAATACACTTGAATGGTTGTACGTAACCCACTCTTGCACGTTGGTATTTGTGAGTCTGTGTCACTCATAATGGGTCGGTCATCAGACGAACAGCTGTCTGCATCCTTTTTCATCGTAGAACTTCCATGCAAAACACCAGCTCTGCGCAAACGTTCCAACATTAACCACCGACAGGCTGTATATAATCTAGGTTAGTTAATATTATCTAACTTCTATTGACTTAACAGCTTAAAAATTCCTGGTTTACAATTAAAGTTTTAAGCAATGAAAATATGGGATCGTTATAGAGTCGTAGAAATTTTAAATAAAAATGACAACCTATCAAAATTTGTTTGTTTTTTAAATGTGAAATCCCAATTTCCCTAAGTAAGGATTGTGGACAATTTTTGCAGCCTGTTCTTCTGATCGATATTCATTTACAAGCCAGCAGATTCTGTGTTCTGTCCAAGTAAAATGTTTAAGTTTTTCTGGGAGTTACGTCAGTATTTCTTGTACTTAGCGCAATGCGTTTAACCATTGAGCCACGTTGTAACAAGTAATCAGCAAGACTATAATAGTTCATGACCTTTTCACACTAATTTAAAATATTATTTGTTTATCTCTAATTTCTTATTTTTATCCCAGATCACTTTGGGTAAAAAAGTTTTCGTTTTAAGTTGGGTACTGACCAATTATTGCAGTGTAATGTAAGATAATATAGGACGAGCTTGATTATCGTTATTTTCGACGTAATAACACGATTTTAATTCTCTTTTCAAAGATCTCCATTTTATACAGCAATTACTGTCTTATATAAGATAAATAGACACCGCTCTACAAATAGCTTCCGCGTGTTTTAGTGACATGCGTCAATAACAGCAAACTAAATCGCATAGTTAAAGCTTTTGCTTCGCATCAATAGAGTACGGTGGATAAAGGTGAACGCACATTTGTCAGGAACATAACAGAGCTTTACTCGTTCAAAAATGCTAAAATAAATTTTGCACAACAAACTTTGAAGTACGGTGAGTTCGTTGCGTACGTCGCGTTCGTTGCTGACAAATGTTCGACTTATTATTATATTGACTTTACAGAATCGTGGATTAACTGCACTGTTTAATCGTACTACGAGTATAGTAGTTTACGTGATATTATTAATATTCGTAAGTGATGTAATAATATTACAAAGTGAAAGAAGCCTTATAATATTTGATAGTACTCTTACGAACGGTCATATTTTTGTATATTATATAATCGGTTTTGCGTAAGCATTTAGTCAGTTAATTAGACGTGTATATTTCTTTTAATATACGTATCATAATATTAGGAGAGCCTAAAGATAATTTAGAGAAACTATGTATAAAAAGTAAAATCTCTGTAGGGAATGCGACACATTTCTGTACCTGTTTTACTGGATTCTATTTAGAGATAAATAGCTGACCACACTTTTGTGCTTTCACCAACCGAATAAATTTTGCATCCCCGGAATTAGAACCTAGCACCGCCTGTTGAACGCAATGATAGCAATACATAAGCCTATACAACATTTCGGCCATGACTACAATTAACAAACATTGCGTATCCTATTCAAATACTTGAATAAAAAATATATAAAAGGCAGATTCCTCACTTCAGCCATAATACGTCTCAAAAGTGGGATAGTGATGATAATCTGAGTTAAATTAGAATAGAGACTCGAAATTAGATATGACTGTTTAGGACAGATACAAACAAGCGCAATGCATTTATATATATTATGGCGCATGTATGTGAAAGTTACACAGCGTCTGCTTGCCTACTGAGCGTGAAGGCCGCTGCTATATTTGCTAGCTGCTCTCAACCACTGTCCTAATATGCAAACAGTCGAACGGCACATGCATTGCCATCACAAGCGTTGACTTAACTAATAAGTAATAATTTATGTAAATTTTATTTTAAAATAAAACGGATCAAAGGCAGGACTAATTTCTACGAAAAGTGACATACTGTGTTCGCTTGACCAATTTAGCTATCATGTCCCGACGTAACGTCATACTTATATTGCGTTAGACACCAAAATTACACTTCAATTCTTTATGCTATTGACTTTGTATTTGAACGATTACTTGCTAACTGCTAATATTATGTATCAACTACATAGAAGGATTACCCGTTTATTATATATTATTTCTTGTTTATACCTAAAGAATGATATGAAATTATGAAAACTTAAAAATATAAAAAAGACCTACGACTATTAGTTGCAGCACATATAGTAATAGTGTTAATATAAATATTTAAGGAAGATAAATGTACCTTAATACGTACTTGTACGTGTAAACCTTAATACGCAAGTGTTAAGGTTGAAATTACATGGCGCGAGGGGTGCATGTATCAATAAGTTGAAAAAATTCGACGATGAGGTGTAGGACTCGGTAGCTCAATTGGTAGACCATCAGTACGGAACGTTTTTTTTCCATTTATTTTCAATTTTTAAAAGATAAATGTAGTTACATTCAGACCAAACGATATCATTAGAGTAATTTCAACAACCTATCCGCACGAGAACTTGCCAATAATGACATAGCATTCTAGGAGACGCAGCTCATCTATTTTATAAGATTCCAGTAATCCAAATACGGCTAACGTGCAACCGTCCTGAGCAAAGTTAGGTTATGCGCAGGCGAGTTGTTGCTGTAAATATACGTTTAGCTTAACTAGATTCAATACCGTCACGCCATTAAACAGTTCCCACGACTGGGGCTTCGCCCGTTAAAAACATTGACTAAATGCAGATCGGTTCGCAAACACGTTAGTCCTAACGATGTTTTTCCCTAGTGTTCGTGTATTGGAAACGTGTCGAAAAAAATAAATATTGCATGACCGGACATCGAACTGTCGTAGTCATAAAAACCTGCCAATACTTTATATAATACAAATAAACCTAAGTCACCGCAAACGTATTATTATGTAATTAATTGCTAATTGTTTTTCGTTTTGATTCCCGGTTAATTTTATTTAAAACCGAGTTGCTACATACATAATAAAAATCGCTGGCATCGCTAGTAGCATACTGAATAACGTATGTTGAGAACAGTTCGCGACTTCCAAGTACAAAATTAACCGTTTTATAAAAACAAAACTTAACAAAAACGTCATTGGAATCTAGTGTAGCCGAGTACGAGTAACGATCATATAGTTGCCAATCGATATTACAAATTACGATGTACAACAGTTACGTTATAAATCTTCGAATATACATTTCTCATACTGCAAATTCGGTAAAGTTTAAAAGCGAATAAATTCAGACAATCGAAAAAAGCGCGTATTTACAACGTTGCTTAATTAGCGCAGCCTAGTGCATTCCACTTGGAGCGATGCAATTAACGGATGAATCGAAGTGAAAAGACCGCCTCCGTAACTCTATGGTTAAGCATGAAGTCTAGGATTCGAATGTATGGGACACGTTATATTGTTTATGTAGGGCTCGGCACAAAAGTCTGAATAAAACGCTTTAAATGATTTTACACGAGACACTACTATTAGTTACTTGTTAATACATTATTTTAACAACGAACTGACAATGCTTTGTCGATGCTTTGCAGCCGTGGTTATGGGGGACTAAAGGTGGAGAGTGTCCCTAATGTCTTATGTCAAAGTAAAAGACTACTACGATAACGCCATCTGTTCGGTCGTAATTTGTATTTGACAAAACTAACTCACGGTATCCCCAAGAACCCAGCCTGTCTGTCTGTTTGTCTGTTTTAGTTTACGCGTAAGCTACTCGCTAAAAATGTTAGAATAATCGATCATCTTCCTCGTATAATCTATACCTGTACTTCTTATAGTTTTACTTGAAACTATAATTTTATTAAAAGATGAACGAGTTTCGCGATTCGTCCAAAAACCTAATACAAGAAGCTGAGAATTGACCTCCGGTCTCCCAACCAAAAATCTAGTGGATAATACCATTTTTTTTTAACTATATTTAACGTATCCTCGGGGCCTAGAAAACTAACCGGCGCTAACGCGCTCGCCGTGGTCATAATACCATTATAATCGTCTTTTAATATAATAACTAACGCCACAAATTGTTGTTACGAACACATTTTTTATTAGGTATATTTCATGTCAAGGTCGATCGTAATAAGAGAATTTGCATAAGTCAATAAGCATTATAGGCTGGCGTTGAGGTGCGGTCAGACAGGGCAAGTCCGCTATCCACTTGTCGGGCGCAATTTCGTTTATTTAGGGAAACGATTCTATGAAATCACAAGCCAATGAACTAACATGCTAATATACGTGTCATAAGTTGACACCATGTCGAGTGTCGGTTTAGTATGTACCTGCGAGGTCGGGTGTTCGATTTCTAGTCATGCTTTTTTAATTAAGTATTTATTTAATTAAGACTACTCTTAATAGTAGGAACTGTTACAGTTTTAAGTTGAATTCTAAATTATATTACCACTGCTTTCTACACATACTATTACATACATATTTTGTTATTAAAAAGTTTTATTTAGCTCCACCCGTACGGAATTTATTTATTTGGGTCAAAATTAGAAATTGAAATTTAAGCACCTTCCCGTCGTCAGATTGGTCTGAAATTTGGTACACACATTTAATTTAGATGACAATACAATATAATAAAACATTATAAATCCAAGATGGCCGCAATATAGGTATCAAATGAAATGGCTACACTAGTAAAACACGATGATTATGACAATTTTTTTTTTGTAGTTTTCTTAAGTTTAGTTTTTTAAAGTTGATACTTGTTTTTAAGTTTAGCACTTGAAAGCAATAACAAAAGTCTGTGACTGTCCGTCGTATCTCAACGACCGCAAAGCTAGAATTGCATTTCACAAATTGTGTGCTTCTTTTGCAATATCCGTTATAATAACAAACATTAAACTTTAAACAAATGATTACTTAATTACTTTTATGTAGGATAACAATAAATGGCAACACTAATACACTTCAAAAGAATTAAATGTATAAAATTTTGTAGACACTTATGTTTACCTAATCAAAAAAATAGTATGGAATCGAAACGAGAGTCAACTCACGCTTGGCCGGGTTTTTATTATTATTCGTAAACAACCGAACTCTCACAATCAAACGAGTGTTTATTTTATTTATTCACTATTATTTAAAAATATATATACGTGTTCTTACGGAAAATATCTATAACCATTTTAAG